ATGCTGCGCATGTTCTCAGTCAGCTCCTCCTCCGATCAGCTGCGGCTCCTTGTAGGAACGCGCCGGCGAGCAAGACGAACGCTCGCTCCACGCCCTTGCCCCCAGCCAACTCCCAGCGAGGACCTGGGTCCCTGGCACAGCGTAGGCTGCAAGGCTGCAGGTGCACTGGGACCGCGCTCGCGCTGGCTGTCAGTACAATGTGTTCGTGTGGCAAAAGATCGCGAAACCCACGATGCCAACTGCAGAAGACCGTGCTGGCTGAGCTGCCTGACGTGCCCTTTCCACTGCAAGCTACAAGGCTTGTTTGCATGGGCCCGATGGCTACCTCACAGCGGCAGCTCAGTCAACGTTACTAGCCCGGGCCTTGGCCGAGGATGCGCACGCCATCACATGCACAACGCAGACCAAGCGACCTTGCGCAACGCGGACGTCCGAGCCGGGCTGACCAGCGCTGCGCCCCACGCCACTAGCTCGCTCTGCGCTGCCCCTTCGAAACATTGGACAATATCGATCGACCATTATCGACCCCATCGACGAGCTACGACACCCCGTCCCTTCAGGGCACACGCTGCGTCCGGCGTGCCCCTGAACGGAGTTTCGTAGTTCTTCGCGATGCTTATCAGGGCTCGCGCGAAGACGACTGGTGCATGGAAACTGTTTCTCCTCACTTCGCGCCCGCTGCTTCCTCCGTCGCGCGCGCACGCGCGCGACGGAGGTGCAGCTAGCCGCCGGGCCTTGTTGCAGCGCATCCAAGCTCATGAAGCAGGGCAGTGGCAGGCCTTTCTCGCGGAGCCTCGCAATGCATCTCGTGTCGGGATGTGGCGTGCGCGAAGCTGTGCTCTGCGGTTGAAGACGCGTTGTGGCAGCACGCAAGTGTCCAGCTCAACACTGACAAAAACAAATTGGACTGCGGCAGGTGCGCGGCCTGCCAATATCGGCGACATGGAACGCTTTGACGACGACCCGGTTTGGGCTGGAGATTGGACGCTCCCGCGCGAGCAGCAAGGGCTCACCGTGCTGGGGACGCCGCTCGGTTCCGAACCATTATGAACCATTCATCTCGCATCAGCTCCGCGCCAAACGGGCTACTACCCAAGATCGCTTGCTGGAGGCCATATCCTGGCATCGAGGACCTGCAGCCAGCGTAGCATGGCGCAATCTTCCGCGGAGACGAAGCTGGTGACCACTTGCGAGTATGGCATTCGCCACCGATGCTTGTGACGAACGCGCGCGCCCGACACGCATTTTGCAAACATTTGCAAACTTCACCTGCGTGCCAAATCTGCTTCTGCCAGGCCCACATGCCAACCGCAGCATTCGTGCCATGCCGACGCATGTTGGCAATTTCACGAGCACGCTTTGATGTGCCAGGCCTCGTCTGCACTCCACTCTTCCGAACGACTCCTGGCGTTCCTCGACGACCTGTACATCCTGACCACACGGGAGCGTGCACGTGAGGCTCGCGACACCGTGGTTGCAGGCAGTGCAGGAAGGATGCGGCATCGCTTCCAATGAGGGCAAGACTCGGGTGTACAGTCATGCCGGCGGAGCGCCTCCACCAGGAATCGCCGAGCTGGGCGCCGACGTTTGGCGGGGAAACAAGCCATCCTCCGAGCGGGGCCTCAAAGTCCTGGGCACACCAATCGGCCACCCAGATTTCATCGCATCATGGGCGGAAAACCGGATGCACACTGAACGCGAGCTTTTGAACCAACTGCATCGCCTCCCTGACTTACAATGTGCGTGGCTCCTCCTCGCTATGTGTGCCTCGCCGCGGGCCAACCACGCGCTCCGCACGGTGCCGCCTCTGGACATAGCCGGCTACGCGCAAGCCCATGACGATGCCGTATGGGAGACCTTGCAGGCCTGCCTGGGCGGAGTCGCGCCTGGCGAGGCGGACGGCGCACGGAAACTGGCGACTCTCCCAGCGTCGCTTGGAGGCCTCGGTCTAGCCAGCCGTACCTCGCCCGCAGCGTGCTGGGCGGCATGGGCTGCTGCAATCCCTGTACTTGGCGAGCGCGCCCCGGCTGTGGCCGAGGCATGCGTCCGCCAACTGGAGGGAAGGGACACAGACACGGCCTGCCTCCATAGTGCAGCGGGGGCACGCAGCGTCCAAGCAGAAGGCTGGCAGGAGTGCCCGTCTTGGCGAGCAATCGCGGACGGCGCCCGCCCGCCAGCGGTGACTGACAAGGGCCTCGGTGACTGGCCGCACGGCTGGCAGCACAGTGCGTCGCGAACTCGCAACCTACACTTCGGCGAGCGCCCAGCGCCTGCGCGCTCCTGCGCTCTCAAGCTGGGCCGCACGCGGGTGCTTGGTTAACCGCCATCCCGGCCGAGCCAGCCACCACACTGCCCCCGCAAGCGATGCAGCTTGCGTTGCGCCGCCGTCTGCGCCTCCCGCTCCCCCTCCGTCTAAATCGGTGCGGCCCCTCTCCCGGATGCGGCGGGCTCGTCGACGTCTTCGGCGACCATGCCTTGGCCTGTCCTCGCAGTGGGCCCTTGGCTCAGCGAGGGGCGGATGGTCAGGTAGTCCCGCAGCAATGGCTCTCCCACACCACTGCTCCTGGTGTTGCGCCAGACGACAGACGCCGTCTTGACTTAGTGATCTACGGCGCATCGCCGATGGGAGGAGCCTTGTGCTGCGACGCGACCCTTGTGTCGCCGCTGACCCGAACGGGCCAGCCACAACCCGGCACCGCGGTGCACGACGGCGCCATGCTGCGGGTTGCCGAGCGGCGCAGGCGAGCCGCCTACCCCGAGCTCAGCTCCGGAGGCCCGCAACGGCTGCTCGTGCTCGGCTCCGAGATAGGTGGGCGCTGGAATGAAACGGCGCAGCGGCTCGTCCGAGACATGGTGCGCATCCGAGCCCAACGGGCACCGCCGGCACTGCGAGGAGCAGCCACTTCCGCCTGGACAAGACGGTGGTGGGCGGCTCTGGCCGTAGCGGTGCAGCAGGCCGTGAGCAGCACTGCGCTCGGAAGCCCGTGGCCCGCACCACCACACGCGAGCCAACTACAGGGCCCGGAGCTGGACCGTGTGCTCGACCTCGCCGCAGCTGCGGGGCCGAGCCGACTGCCGCTGCGCTAACCGCTAGCCATGAACGGCCTGCCCGCCGCTGCAGCCGTAGTCGTGCGAACTAACTCGTTCTGCGGAGGAAAAAAAAAGAACATGTGTGAGCTGTGTTTGACTATAAGCCCTCAGGATAGCTGACGATTGGGTCTATATGGCGAACACGCTGGTTTCGTATCTTGGAAGGCTTCCAAATGTAGTATATACATCAGCTTCCGCAACGAATCCCGCACTTTGGCCTATCTCCTGCGTGCTTCCTGAAACCAGCGTCTGCATGGGGCTTAGCTAGTTCTGATGTGCAATTTCCCCGCTGATGTATATTCTCCCAAAAACTAGCGTCTGCCGACATTGATGTGTATTCTGACCAGCTGATGTGAGATAAACCCAACGCTAGTAGCAGACCCCTGTGTCAGTCGCAACCCACAGGTCCAGATCGAAACATGCACACTTTCCGTCCGGAAAGAAGTTCACGATTCAATCCTTCATTTTGATCAAGTTCTGCGCTGGCAGACACCGAGATATGGAAGCCGGACGCGGCGAATCCGTTCAGACACCATTTGCGCGTGTCGTTTTTGCAGCACCCGTTTGCATTCGTTTGTTCGCAATCGAACAGGGTAGCAGAGAGCCCGCCATACCCGCAGTCCAGGACGTGGCACGCTTGCCGGGTATTGAGCGGCACCAGGAAGAAGGCAGAAACAAGTTTTTGATTGCTCGTTGATTGTTGTTCCTTGAGTGTGGCAGGAAGGCATGGCAGTCAACCGTGGCGGCTTAAGGTGCGCAATGTTGGTGGTCTGCACGACACCGGCATATGGCAACATATGACAGTGCAAGCAATCAATTTTTCCGTTTGCGAAGGCACAAGAGCTAGAGGCACGACTGAAGCTTCAACTTGTGATTAGCACGGCCACGGACAGCTTGCAAGGCAGTGGCTGCCGCACATCGCCTCGCCCATGCGAGACGCAAAGAGGCGTAGACGGATCTCAGCGACAATTAGGGGTTAAACGTGTGTATGTGCACTGCCTTGCGTTCCGGCAGGTCGAAGCTGGGGGACGCGAATCGAATGGATACCCTGGTGCGGAAAGCGATGCTGCCGTCAGAACCTTGCTTGGGGATCGTGAGCAGTAGGCTTGTAGGGGACGGTACAGTATTATAGACAATTATAGACCAGGGTTTAGATCCCAGGTTCGAGCACCCTTGTCGAGAGAACAGCTCAAGGAGCTTCATCGCCGTGAGGCGGACTCTTGGTTTTGAGCCGTGTTGCCGCTCGTGACACGCATCAGTGTTTCCAGGAGCAGCGTTTCGAGGCCTTCCGTGTGACGCGCACTTCGTGAGTCGTGAGGTAAGTTAATTTCAGTATGGGGTTTCTAAAAAGGGTTCAATGAACACGAATGCGCACATGCACACGCACACACACACACACACAAGAGGCAGATAGTCCGGGCGTGACCGCATTGCCTGATGCCCCAGGTTGTTACTGATGGTTGCTGCGTTGTCCCGTGCAAGATCGGTCGCTGCAAGATGCATGTGGTACATCTAGCTGATCTCTGGCGACAACCATCGCAAGCCGCTGGGAGGATTGCCCACATATTAGTGGACAGGACAAACAAAGCCACTGGCCATCATGAGGTAGCCGTCACGCGCATGCGCGGAATGTTGCAGGTTCTGTGCACCGATGTGAAACAAGCAATGACAAGCATAAACAAACGAGCCAAGGGCCTCAACCAATATGCTCAAGTCCTCACCCTCACACCACCTGTCCAAAATTATTCTTCGCTTGAACTCGAAGGGTTTCGCGCTTATCCTTCTAGCAGAATCGGCATCACAGACAGAGTCGGCAAGACTGTTCACCACACGCAGCATGGTCATGATCTTCTCAGGAGATGAAGCAGGAAGAGCTTCGGAGGCTACATTTCGAGCGTGAAGAAGCCAAAATGCGAAGACAGGCCTCCACGGGTCCACGGGTAGCTGGATTGATCATGCGAAGCGGGAGGAGGTTTCAGCATTCCACATATTTCACCAGATCGGATCAGTTGTGAAAGGAGCAGGAGGAATGGGAGCACGCCATGCGTCGCAAGTTCATCGAAGAGGCGGGCGGACGGCTCATGGACATAACAGCAATGGTGATTCGCTTTGGAAGGCAGAGCAGCTTAAAGCTGCCCGGCGAGCGCAACGAGAAGTTGAGGTACCTGCAGCACGCTGAGTGCAGTAAAGCTACAAGGGTAGCATACATGTTCGAGCGGCTGGGTGGAATGAATCACTGGTCAAGTGAGATATGGGAAAACCATGAGATGAAATGGGGATTCCCAACGGCTTCTTTTCGCAGTTCTGACAGCTGATGGTGGAGCTTTTCGACGGCTCAACTTGTTGTGTTCAGTTTTGCAGCAACTGCGCATTGGCCGGATCTTTGTATCAGCCTTTCTGAATCAACTTGACAGTGTTCTCTCAGTGTTCTGTCGCACATACGACGGCACGCTGTGGCACATTAGCAGTCAAAGCGTATGACAAGTTTGCAGCATTTGGCCTTCGCGGAGTTTCTTCCAGCCTCTGGCTTCAGCATCGTGTCAGTGTGTTTGTGTGCATGTGTGTGTTTAGAGTTCGCAGTGTTTTTTTTCCTTCCGTGACAGAAAAACATCTGCACACTGGCCAGTGTCACGTCGCGGCCAGCGCTGGAACGAACTTGGTCGGGAACGCTTCAATGCGCATTATGTGACATTGACATGTAGCGTGTGTCTGTGTGTGTGTGTGTGGAGACCCTGGTTCTATGCTAAGAACTCTGGATGCAAGCATAGTTGTTGCACAGCTGCAGGGAGCTGGACATGTGCATGGCCTGTGCACATGCTGATATTCTCGGGAGACGTGCCGAGAACGTACGTGCATCCGGCGAAGCCATAAACCTGGCATGTCGAGAATCAGTAGCCGGTCGGAGTACGACAGCAATAAGGAGTACTGCCTCAACCTTTCGCGCATCGTTGTTTCAAATCGCTGCCCGGCAAGCCCCATGGCCGCGGCACCCCCAGTTCCGCCCCCTCCCAATGCGGACGCCGGTGCCAGTGTGGGTGGGACTTGCTTCGTCGCTTGGAGCACGCGGAATTGCTTGTCTCCGTCGGGTGGGCAGTACGCCAGTTACCTGATCGCTCCAGTGCAAGAGGACCTGCTGGAGTGTTGCGGGGCCACGCGCTCGATCCACCGCCACTCCGACCGCTTCCGTCCCCGGCCCCGCAGCCGACGCCTGGACTGCTGCCCGTGCGGTCGCTTTTTTGCCGCCGAGCTTTGGGGGCCTCGGCTTGCTGGCAGCTGACGGGGATTGCCTGCAGGGCTTGTGCACGAGCTCGAGGGCGAGCCGCGGCGGCCTTACTTGCAGATGCCATGAACCGGCTCGCTGAAGTAGGCTGAGGCCCACGGCCCTATTTTCGGGACATTCGGGGACAATCGCTACAGTCGATTAAAGACTTCGTCAAGGATTTACCCAGTGAAAGCGGTACATCAACGAGGGGCGAGGATCAGTGTCAGTGAATCAAAGCATGCTCAATCAGGTTCGTGTTTTACAGCGCGAGAGAATGCGAGATTGAAGAGTGCACAACCAGGAGTCTCTATCCGACCAGGTCCGAAAACACCCAATTCCTTTCCTCCTTTCCTTGCAACTGGCTCTCGTGCACCGAAAGCAGCTGTCACGCCGAAGAGGGTGGCTACCCCTAAAGGATCAGGCGCCGCAGGTACTCTGCCATCCTACCGCCGTGCTCGTGCTGAGGACGAGCCCACAGCAGAATCATCACCCCTGACGGTTTGCAGCTTCGAACAACACAGGCATCCGGAGAAATGCGAAGCCGTTCCGGAAGAAAATTGGGAGGCAAGTGGAGACCACCATCCTGAGGACTTTGATGGAGAAGCCACCATCGCTCAGGGTCTTTCCCGACCAATGTCACCAAGCGATCTGCGCCCGAATTGGAGAAACGAGAGTTTGCCGGTTCCCTGGAGGCAGTGCAGAGTTTCGAGGGACAGCAGGATTATAAAGTGGCCGGGACGACCAGCAGTTGGATCTCTCAAGGTCGGCTAAGGTCTGAAATGCCAGTGACGAATGGCTTGCTGCTCTCAGCCGACTCGAACCGGCGAACGGACCAGCGATTGATGCAATCAATTTGGGACTACAAGTAGATGCTGCTGCCAAGGTCGCAGAGAGGAGTGACTCGTGCCACCGACTCAGATCAGAGCACCGCGTCGCACCAGAGCGTCTGTCAACACAGTGTCTCGTGCCCAGCTGGTCAGATTTCTCCTAGCCGAGCCTTTTTTCAGATGGTTTCCTTGGTTTACTAGCATTGTATAGTCTTCTACTTCATCACATTTCGGATCGCATGTCATGGATACGAGCTCGACTCGACCTTTCGTACGAGCTGTGTTTTCGCTTCGCAGCTTCTTTTCCAGCAAATCTTCGGCAAGCTCTTTCAGGACTGCATGTCCCGTTTGACTATCCATGGGAGTGGCATGAACAAGACTACGTGGTGCATACTGTTCTCATATCGGCGTTGCCACGGTTGCACAGTTGTAGCTTGGATCCACAGGGCAGTCACTACATCGATGTGAACATGCTCGATGCAGGAAATTCATTCATTCAACTGGGCAGAGGGCGGATTGCCTACTATGAACCTGCTCTGAAGATTTGGGCACACCAAAGCAACTTCTATCAAGGTATCGGCATCGTGCTCGCCGGCATCCTTGAGACTCAGGATCGATTAGCCATGGGTCCCAAGCATTACCCCAAACCAGCTGCTGATCTTGGTAAGCTTTTTGCTGCTTAAGTTAGGGTGCTTTGTGATCTCAGCTGTAGAACATGTATATCAAGCTGGTGCTGCAATGACACACCGTCAACCGATGGAATCACATCGTGCCCCCTGCAGTCCCATTATGAGCAAAACGGTTTCATTGACAACCAGGACTGAAAATCTTTGGAAGACCTTTTTAGCATTGGCCCTCCAGTGTTGCTGTGGATCCCTTCGCCTCTGTCTGTTTGATTCTCGTGATTGGAAGATTGCAGACAGCTGGCAAGAAGTTTTGGTCTTCAACCGTCAGACCTCCCGAGTGGAGTTCCGATCGTGGCCGCTGAATCATGTGTCGCGACAGTGACAAGCCAGACAATATGCAAACCCGCTGGGTTTAGCGAGTGTGGAAAGTGACTTCTGCTCCTCAGCGAGAAAGTCTTCTCAGGATCCAACACCAGGGCAAAGTGATCAAACACGCAGTTTTTGCCGCAGGTGCATCTGGAAGACCTCTAAAAAGCAAATGCTGCATCTGCAGCAACTCTCCTCAGCAGGCTCCAGGTGCAGACCTCGGAAATCTTGATCTCTTGACTCTCTTGCTGAAGGTTCCAGGCGCAGACCTCGGAAATCTTTGTCTTTTGCTGAATATGTAGATCTAGCGCTACGTCACGTACTGTTTTGCGCGAGCAGCGAACATAGCTGCAGCAAGATGCAGAAATCAGACTCTTTCAGAACAAGGGCGCCCGAAAAGACAAGCAACCAGATTAGGCCCTGTTCAGGGGTCCAATGTCTGAAGTTGGACAAAACACTGGAGGCCACAACAAAACATGAAGTTGGCCTAGACACGAAAACACAGTGCCACCGACGTGCGTGTCAGTGCATTGTGGGATTCCTTGTGCCGAATGGTTTGGTCCTCGGATTCAGGGAGGTCGCCTCGCAGGCCGAAAAGTTCTGCCATTGCTATGGGAGGAAGCCATAGCCATAGAGGACAGCAAGGACAGATTGCTCAACTGGTGCAGTCCCCACCAAATCTCCAGATGAGTCAGGGTGGAGACACATCGCCACGGCTGGCACATCACCAGCTGCAAGCACGTGAACTTAGCAGGCATAGCGAGACTTGCCCGTGTCACTAAGACGTGGGTCCGGCCATTACTGCTGGTGGCCTGGTCAGGTCATAGCTTTAACACTCGAGACGTACCGAGGCTTAGTCGTACAATTGATCAACCCTGGCGGATGAACAAAAAAGAAGAAAATGTGCTGCTTTGCATTGATCTTTTGCATAAGATCCAGCCGCTTGAGGTTGTACCACCGATTCCAATTGACTGAAGTTGTCCAGAAGTGTCAATTTTGCATTCAAATTTTGATAGGGCAATGGAGAACAAAAAAGCTGAGGTACGGTGCAGAAGACGTTACCCCTGTCATGTCTTTGCCACTTGAGAGCGTGTGCACTTGTCAGGTTACCAATGATCTCATACAAGCTTTGTTGACGCAGCAAGACCAGCATCCAGGCATCAAGGTACCTCAGGACCTCAAAATTACCATGGGCCGTCAAATGATGGATGACACTCGCTGGCAGCAACACAGTGTTCCACAGCTCAGCTCCTGGCACTCCTTTGGCATGTGTGGGACATTCTGATTCGCAGATTACGTGTCATTGATGGGCCAATCAGGTGTAATCATGCGCTCGAGATGTGTTGAGGCTGCTGCTGCTATCGCAGCCAGAGGAAAGATGTCATTGGAACGGACCACATGAATGATTCTTACATGACGATTCGGCTTGTAGCAGAGCATTGTCAGGAACATGCCGCGGCACATTCAAGAAAAGTTGGCAAGCTGCAAGAGTTCGCAGGCCTCAAGAGATGTCAACATGTACCGGCCCAATCATGTTATCCCCTTCATTTCAGGTACGACAAGTGCAGTCACGATGTTTGCAAGCTGTATCTGCACTCGAGGCATGCTCTACACACCCGTGTACATAATGAAACATGTCTTTCTGTCTCTCTCTCTCTCAAGTCGTCCAGTGGCCAGGGGACAGCCACTCAGGCTACATCTCGTGTGCCACTCTTCAGACTTGGTCGACCACGAAACGAAAATTTTGCAATACTGGGTCAAAGCAATGACAAGACGGAGGCCTGAACTTAGCTGTGTTCGCTTAGAACAGAACGGCGGGTATGGCCATTTCACTGAGCCGATTACCGTCTTCCGCACATTGGAGCCAGTGACAGGTGTTCGCACAGCCCCAGACCATCCGGACATGCAACATCATAGATAAAAAGTCAGGTCCTATGACAACTCAATGCACGTGATCGTGCCATGTTGTTTCTTCAAGCATCATGTCCAGTCGGCTCGAGTGCATTTCTCAGCATGGCTATGAAGCGGCAGGATCTGGGCTGGCACCGGGGTCTGAGGACGTGGACATGCTTGCCAGCAGCGAAAAGCTGGACTCAGGGTACAGCACCGGATCTGAAGTTGAGTCAGACATGCTTACTACCAGCGTCGAAGAGCTAGACTCATGTACAGCATTGAGTGAGACGATCATCGACCCCACACCCGAGTCAGCTCAGTTGGTTGATCCTTCAGAAAATGCAGAGAGCTCCATAGAGATTGCAAGAAGTTCTTCATCAGGTTCGGTGACTGGCGAGAACATCGACAACACAATATCCATTGATGAATCAGGTTTAAGAGCATCTGAGAGAGACACGTGCATCTTCCCCAGGTAGCCTTTTCGTTCCAAGGATGGGGGTTTTCTGAAGACCATTCCTTGCCCACAGAAGCAGCTCATTAGTTGTTTAAAGGCCGCGCATGAACTTGATCATGATTTCTTCATTCCCCGACGTGCGGAGCTTATCCTTCAGTTCCTGCAGAAGCATCGCCGCAAGTCGATTTCGACTAAACCTCGTCGCAGGTTTCGCACGACCTTACAACTGTACAATAGGTATTGGCTCGACCTCAAGTTACCACAAACCTGAACTTTTCCCCCTGAACAGGGTGTGTGCGTGTGTGCAGAAACCATGGTTCTAAGCCATGGGCTCTGGATGCAAAGCTGTACGGTTAGTTGCAGGGGGTCTGGACATCTGCATTGGTCGCCAGCCCAACGAAGAGGGCTTTTGCACATGCTGACATTCTCGGGAGACGTCCTGAGAACGTACTTGCAGAGTGAATGGCAACCAGGCGAAGCCATAAACCTGGCATGTCGACACTTCAGCGGAGCACAGAAGGTTTTGCAAAGTTCTGCACGGTTGCTAAAATCGGTCATGTCTTTTTGCATGTTCAGCCTATACAGCAAGGTTTCCACGGGGATGGGCAGCGTAGCGGGGAGCTATTTTTACTCTTGCAGCCACCGTCTCCGCGTGTGTCTCGGTGCAGACTAGCTGTTGGACCGGTTCAAGAATTCCCGCCCCACCTTGACATGCGGTTGATTGAACTGGGCGTCCGTCCCAGAATACTGTTGTGGAATGTGAGTCCGCCGGCACCAGGAGCTGCAGGAGAAGAAATGGAAAGAGGGAGCTCAGAGGCGCCAGGCGCTTTACCGCAGTCTCGTTCCTGCAGTGCTCCTCTCAAACTGACAACTTAAGCACAAACTTGGTTTCCGTTGGAGCTTGCCGCAGCATGGTCCAGGCAATGAGGCAGGAGGGGGTTCGTGAGCGTGAAGAGGCCAAGAAGCGACGACAGGCACAACAAAATGGAACAGTCATAGCGTCGATGAGTTGTCATGAGGGGGCAGGGAAATTTTAATGGCATAATGCAGGAGCAGGAGGAATGGGAACAAGCCATGCGTCGCAAGATTGCAGCGGAGGTGCGGCAACGAATTTTGTTGGGTTGGCGTTGCATGACATGGCGGAGCTGAGATTCAGCCAATGACGAGTTGTGGAATCACAGAACAAGGCTCACTTCAGTCTGAATCCATGTGCTCAGGAACAGCAGAACGAGGAATTTCGGAGGCGCCAGGCGGCCCTGGGCACATGCGATAGTTGGCGGCACCAAACACAGAGTGCGACTTAGCTTGCAGGCATCAGTTTCTGTTTTGATATCGCATGTATTTCGCTGTCTGCCTCTGGACATGGTTTTCGTTAGGATTTTCATGTCAGCTGTGAGAGGTCCCAAGAGCGGTCGAGTTGAGTTTGCGCCGAGTATCGTTTTAAGGTCATAGCGCGACATGTAGAGTGTCAAGACCAGGAAACATGTAGGTAGCCAGAACCATGAAAGGTTTGCGCACACTCCATGCCGATTGCCAGGATGTGCTGGTACTTGGAAAAGCTTTCATGTGAGAAGCACTCGTACGCATTATTAGTGTCATCTCAACCCTGCTTCCGGCATTCCCTGCACGGACTGGTATGGACACCATACTACATCTCCTGATTGGGACTGAGCAAGTGTCTCCAGCAGGCTGAAGAGAAGAAGAATCGAGCGCAGGTTTGCAGATGTCGACTTAATGCTCGGCGAGCTTTTGCAGTCCATGCTTGCAGGCGTCACAACACGAGCATGGCACAGAGCCAAAGGCAGCTGAATCACCTTCACCGCCGTGTCACATGATACCGCGGTACGCCATGCGCCCGGCAGGCCAAGATGGGCATGGCCACCTCTGAGTTCAGGTTTTCTGAGAGGTGACCTGGCTTTACAATACTTGGTTTCTCTTTGGTTACCGATGTTAGCAGCTTTTCGCAGCGCTTACTGGTGTTAGCACTTCTTCATAGTTCTTCTGTTCGTCGTGCACAGAGAACATATTGCGAGACCACACCGCGCAAGAAGGTGAATATTGGCTTTTGGTCTCTAGTTGGGCTTACTGATTCGGGCTGGTCGCCCATATCTCTTGGCCCCCGACCCGAGCCTGGCATTTGCATGTCCTTTGCTCGACCTATAAGCTGGCCGGGACTTGTTCCACCAACGTCACTTCATCAATTCTGCCAAACTCCTGAGTTGGAAGTCGAACCCTAGATGGAGTTGAGAGCCCTTGTTAATCGCACAGGCTGTTTCGCATCGTCCACACATGTCACATGTCATGAGCTTGCTTTGAGTCACTCTTTCTGTCAGCTCGCACGCAGAAGAAATTCTGGTCCTAGTAGCACTGGGAACAGGCAAACATGTCGCATCATACCTTTCTGCAGCTGGTGATAATGAGTTGGACTACATGTCCCAGCCACAGTGCTTCCCTGAAAAGGCTGTGCCATGAACTGCCTCGTGCGTGTGTGCATGATTGTGGATGTACGTGCTTGTTTCGAACTGTGAGAAGCATTGCTGAAGCTTTGGATCCTCACCCACCCTGCTAATCGCCTAGGCCACATGTTGCACAGCCATCGCCTCCACGTCATCCACACCCTTCGCAGTCACCGCCGGGAGGTGGCCTGTCCGCAGAGTTTCGGGATGTTGAGATGATCGGTTGTTGGCCTGCGGATGGAAGGTCGACGTGCGAGGCTCAAAGCTACGAGCACGAGCAGCAGAAACGCAGCGGCCCCAGCTTCGCTACTTCTCCGGCTGTTTGGATTTACTGCCAGGTCGACCTTAGATCGAGCAGCGCTGTGCCCTTGGGCGCTCCTGGGGACTAGGAAACAATCATCTCAGCTTCTTCACGAGGCTGAGCTGCAAGCAGCAAAGTCAGCGGCTATGCGACAGCTGCCGGGTGCTTAATGCAGACTGGGGTCTATGTGACGATTCATTGCTTCAGCTGTCCAGAGGCAAAGTGCATAGCAGAGCAAGCCTCCGGCCTTAATTCGCCACGTGACTTCCACACGCACCACAAATTCTCGGATCGGTGTGCCCGGAAACGGTACCGCTACAGCGTCGATCGTCGTCAATGTTATCCTGTCTTTCGCTCGTGCCACTGGAACACATGCACGATCGCGGAGCGAGCTTGTCCTTCGTGATCGCCCAGAAAAGCGTTGGACGCCCCGGAGCGTGCAAAGGGAGGGGGCACAATCGCGACTGCCGATCCCAACAAATACCGTGCCGGTTTCCCAACCGATGCTGGAGCAACCGATTTGGCAAAAGCCTTTTAGGTAACAAGTTGGTCATCGGGGAGTTTCCGTGCTCCGCCTTGTCTTGCTAAGACTTAGTACACTCGAGTACTGAAAGTTCAAGCTTGAAGGGTTGAAGGAAACGGGCAACAGGCACACTGTCCCCCGGAAATTGAAGTTCATTCCGTTGATACAAGTGAGGGCCTGTCTTGTAGTGCAGGGGTTTAGCTACCATGAGGTTTGCTGTATTTGCCGTTTGATCCCCGAACTGTGCGTGGCTGCTGAAGAAAGTCGCGAGGTGGGAGATAGGAAGATAGATAGATATATGATAGGTATGTGATATGTGGTTATGCAGATTGTAGTTTTTGGAAACAGACACGTAATTACAGAAGTTGAACCAAGTAGACAAATTAAATAAGTAGATAAATAAGAAACTAAATCACATAAACAAACGAGCTAGGTATAACCAAATAAACAAATGAATATATATATATATACACATACATATATATGTATATACGTATAAGATATCTACATATATATATATATATATTTTATTTATTTATTTCCCTATTTAGATAGACGGGTACATTTCCCGTATTGACCTTACTGGTTCGATACTTGTGCAGACTGGCTGCCGAGCTGAGTTCGTTTGCGTCAACCGACCCCCCAATGAATCCCTGCTGCTTCGACGCACAGGGTTTTGCAAACACTGGTGCCTCAGAAAGTGGTGATGCCAGACTTCTCAACGGGTCCGGCATGCGATCTGACTCGTCCGCGGGGCCTTTCACATCCGGCCCATCAAATTTTCGGGAGTCATCTCGATCTTGTCTCAAGTCTTGGTCGAGCGCTGTTTGCAGCAGCTGCTGTTTGCGAATCCACCATCCGCGGGGCGTTACGACAGACTTTGAAAATTATTTGTCTGCCATTGCCTGCCTGTGTGTCAGTCAGGCTGTCTGTCTGTCTGTTCTCATGTCTGGTGCATTTACTTGTGCCTGCATGCATCCGTATGTATGTGTATGTTTGACTGCCAGCCTGTCTGTCCGTATGTATGTATGTATGTATGTATGTATGTATGTATGTATGTATGTATGTGTTTATGTATTCCTGCATGCTTGTATTGGCTTGTATGCTTATGTGCATGAGTTCATGTCTAGGCGTGTGCATATGTTTATGTTTGTATGTATGTACGTACGTACGTATGTATGTATGTATGTATGTATGTATGTATGTATGTATGCCGATGTATGCACGCATGTATGTACGTACGTACGTATTCTCATTATTTTGCCATGTACGTCACTTCTCGTCACGTTAGATTAGGTTATGCTTAGTTCTGTTAAGTTGTTTGTGGGCATTTATATATGGGTGTGTTCGTGGATGTTTCTGTCAGGCCGGTAGATTGGAGCAAGCTCCTTCATCCTCACATGCAGTGATTCTGATTGCTGGCGATGACTTTTCACGGGCATTTGTTTAGCTTAGCCTTGCATCAACTGAGGATCATGTTGAAGCAAAATCCCTCCAAAGAAGCCAGACACAAAGGCTTCAAGGCGAGCTTGCGGACTTGCAACCAACCTATCAGCAGCTGCTGTGCATGGGCCACCAACTGCAGGAGCTTTTGCGCATGTGGCACCCGGACAAAAACCCTGGGAGCGCAGAGGTTGCCGGGAGCCTCCCCTCACGTGGGCCAGAAAGCCACTGATAAGACTAATGGCATTCTACTTGAGGCAACAACCGTCTTTCAAATGATCCAGGCGGAGAGAGGCGAGCGCCAACTGTTGCTGTTTTCTCGGTTTCGAAAGAGAGTGCGGGAGAGAGCGAGAGAAAGAGATATAGAGAGATATAAAGAGAAGAGCAATAGGGTGGATGGGGAAGCACCTTGAGGGTGGGCCAGGGGGACTGCCCGTGGTTCTAGCCCCTAGCAAAGCAAACAGAGAAGAGGTGGTACCTTCTCTACAATACCAGGAACACTGGGGCACACTGACTCTCCTGAAATGTGCGTGTGTGGACGCACGCGATGCCGAAGGTCAGTTTGAAACTCAGATGTTGGTTGCTGGGCTGGATGTTTGGGGTTGGTTGGTTGATGGTTGCTAGCTGTGGGAGGACCGAACGCATCCAGTGTCGTGCGTGCCAGGCTTCAGGGCGGGGTGGGCAGGACAAAAGGCAGTGCTGCGAGAGGTTTTTGTTCGGGCTCAGGTGGAGGCAGGCTAGCGGGGGTTAAGTAACAGACGTCTGCCACAGGCAGGGGAGTGGAGCTTGCCTGGTAAAAGGAGAGGGGGCTACTCACAACAATACTTCTTGTGCACTTTTCGGGGCCGCACTATTGGTGTTCTGCAAGCTTTTAAATGCCGTACTGTGGATGAGAAAGTAGCCCGGCTCGGTGATGCCTACCTGGTTTCCATGGTAAAGGGCTTTAGGAGGGGTGATGTTCGGGGTTAGGTTGGGTAAAAAGGCACACCGGGGGGAACGAGCACGTCTTCATCCCCGGAAGGGACCTGCGCGCACCTTGATGGGGTTGGCCTTCGGGTCGGTGGACTCGTTCCCAGACAGCAAGCAAGCAAGAGAGAGAGAGAGAGAGAGAGCCTGAAACGGCAGTGCAGCAGTCCCTGGGGAACCGGCGAACATACCGTTTCACGCCGACTAAGCACCAGACGCTGGACGTTGCGAGCCCCTTCGGGGGGGGGAGCCCTCGGGTGCCGCTGCTGGTCAGCAAGCAAGCAAGCAAGCAAGCAAGCAAGCAAGCAAGCAAGCAAGCAAGCAAGCAAGCAAGCAAGCAAGAGAGCCTGGTAGGCTGGATGGGGGAGCCCGGACACGGAATGTTGCGCTGCAGGCTCGGCACTGAAGTTTGCCCACACGCAGGATGACGTTGGGGCTGCCGTGTCCCACGAGCTCGCGATGAAGCGGAGATTGAGGGCATCCGCTTTTTCGCGGCGATCGCGGAGCATGCCCTGCGAATTGCGCCAGATGTCCTGGCAGCAGGAGGCCACCCACAAGTCACCGAAGAGCGAGGCCTGCCCCGCCCCGGACGGACGACCTTTTTGGTCTTTGATGATCTGCGCACACAGAATGTCGGGTCTCAACACGGAGGCCCTGATGTTATGAAGCAACTCATGGGCATTTTCCGAGATGGTCATGCTCCAGAACGCGGACATGCAGATTCCACAACTCAGAATATTCACGGTTCAGGATCTTGACAAGGTCACAGGGAGCTCATCGCCATGCACAAGGCCACCGAGACCCACATCCCCAGGAGTACGCCGCATCTGTGACATTGACAGACCATCTCGAAGACGTGCCCACGAGAAGTGGTTCAACGAAGACAGCCGGGCGATCTTGAAACGAATGATTGCAATCCACGTACCCGACGACATCTTGAAAGGCAAGGTGCTGGAGGGCGTCGAAAGTGACGAGGTGAACATCGCCAGGCCGAGAGCTTTGGAACAAGACCGTCGGCTGAAGTCGCGGTCATTCTTAGGGCCTGGGGCTGCCCACTCCTCTCACCCCTAGCACAGCAAAGACTCCTGGTAGCCATTTTGGCTTTCAAGCCCGTGGGGGGCCCTCTGTGAGCCCATTCCTCGATCTTCTTCTCAGCACCCCATGGGACAACCTTCTTGCCCTTTTCTCCCCGCTTTCTCGATTGCTGTTCCGAAGCATTGCAGGAGACTGCGAACCTGATCATTGCATTGCGTTGTTCGCCTTCCAGGCTGCCCTCAGCGAGTTCGGCGGCCTTGTTCCAGTACGGTGACTGCTGCGCTTGCTTCCAGTCCCTCGTGCCAGTTGTGACATGTTGTGACCCGCCACGTCAAGGATTTCGGCGAACCTACACGGGGAGTACCCCGCCGAGACGACCCTCTCCGAGTACTACCCTGGGTGCGGGACTATAAGTACGTAGTGATCGTGACATATCGTGATTTTGGCAGGGACGCCAAGAATAAAATCTCTGCCCTACGATGGCGGGGACGACGCCAGCAAAGACATGAGCGGCGGCGGCGGCGGTGACTTACCAAGGAAGCGCACGAAGGACCGCGATCGTGACCGTGACCGAAGACGGCGGCGACGCACAGAGCAAGCCGAAGCCACGTCGAGTTCAGTGCAGCCAAGCAGGGCTTTACCCGGCACCAACATTTGCGTCGAGCTCCCTGATGACGACCCCCCTCGAAGCTCACTAGCGCAATCGCTTGCACCAACTGCTTGAACAGCGAGACGCCGAGGGGAAGACACCTTGCGACCTGGACAGCTACCACATGGACGAGGACAAGTGGAAGGCGTACCGGGCCGGTTGCAAGGCAAACAAAGTGCCGTGACTTCCGGCGTGAGCAACGACGCAAACATGACTGGCAGCCCGACGAGGACCGAGCGAAGAAGCGAAGCGCCAAAAATCAGGCGGACAGAGTGCAGCAACCAGAGAAGTGAGCGAGGGTTTGATTTGAACACTTTTCCAGGGGCAAAAACAAATACCCCGAGTACGTTCCCTACAACAGGGAAAACTTTGAATCTGATGCTGCATAAAGTGCCTTTTACGCTGGGTTTCTCGTTTCGGGTGGCATTCAGTTTCTCTTTTTCCTATATGGGTACCGGCTTTCAAGTATGTTCGGCGTCGAATGCGTGCCGTGTCTACCCAACTGAGCTACAGACGCACCGGGGGAAACACCTTTTTCATTTTCTTCGCTAATTAATCAGACGGGCCGCTGGAGCCTCCCAAACACCTCGATATTCCTGCCTCCCCTCGAGGCTCTGTAACATACTGCATTGTTTCCTAAGCAGACAGGTCCCGGAGTGGATTGCCCACTGTCTGTAAAGCCCTCTCTCTCAGTTGGCACCCGCAAAAATCCTGGCGAAAGAAAGGCCCACACAAAAGAAAGAGAGAGAGGGTGTTTCACGCCGACCAAACCTGACTCGGATTCAAGCGCTATAGAGCCTCGGCATGCCTCGGCAAACGGGGGGTGGGAGCGCGTCTCCCATTTCCTCCACACGCTTTGCAAGAAAGCAAGCAAGAGAGAGAGAGAGAGAGGGAGAGGAGACAACTCCCCACCACAACCCTGAGGAAAGAAAGAGGAGACATGGACGGGGGAGCCGTCCTGGTGAACTATGACTCTCATGAGGGGGATGACATCATGCGCACCAACACCGAAGAGAACCCCTCCCTGGATGCAAAGTCTGGGTCGGATACATCGCATGGACGTCGACGAGTTCTGGGGGAGCATAGCAAGGACTACTTCCGAAGGGCCAGTGAAGCTAGGAAGACTAGGTCTCTTTCAAGTTGCCTCTGGTCCTCTAAGGGGATGACTCTTCTGTTCAGGTTGCTTTGGTCGTTCGGTTTGTTTGTGTGCTTTGCTTCGTAGTTCGAGTACAGTCATTGCCCGGGGGACCGTTCCATTGCATCGCAGTGCTTCGATGACGGGGGAGCTTACACTGACACCCTTGTTGGTCCTTCCGAAGCCGTTGTTCTTACAGCTGCAACCTCGTCAGCGCCCCCAGGGGGAAGAAATGCTGAAACCAGGGGAAAATACTTTGGCCAAGGCATCAGAAGCACGAGTAGCTCAGTGGGGGGACTCAAAACTGAACTTAGCCCAGGGTCTCCTTTGAATCCTTTACCTGCTTCCTACCTTTCTGTTTCCCTTACTGCACTCTGCCTGTTGACACAGCGCCTAGCCGTGTGTGTATCGCACATACAAGCTGCAGGGGGACATGGTCAGGCCGGGGATTGGATGGATCTGCTACTTACGTGATGTCGTTCTGCGACCCACAGAACGTGTAGGGGGAAATGACCCCGCACGCTACGTCCTGAAGCAGCTGTAGCTCAGGGGGAAGCTCGGTAGCAGTGATGTGCATGTCTGATACTCTACTTGGGTTCCGTCTACTTAGCATCTGTATCTTTCTTTCCGGTGACCGAACATCCATAGCTTCTTCTACCCCTACAAAGCCCCACAACAGTGGTGCGCCTCACGGCGCGGGGTGTCGACACGCACCCTACGCCCCGGAGAATAGAATAGAATAGGAGAGAGGAGAGAGGAGAGAGGAAAGAGGAGCGAGAGAGAGAGAGAGATGCCAGGTCGTGTCTTCAAGTAGTTTCAGGCCCAGTCCTCAGCTGTTTCAGGAGATCATGTACAGCGGTGGCCATGCGAAGGGTTGCAATGCTGTGTAGTTCGCCGAGGATTATGCAAGACCTGGTGAGACATTTCAAGCAGCTCCTGCTTCCTGCTGCACAAATACCATGCGGCCGAACGGTTGCCGTTCCGGAGTCTGCTCAGATTGTCCCAAATGTGATCCTATTAGTTTCAGCAGAAACTACCGGTCATGGTATGTTGTGTTGCTGAAACGCTTTGCCTCGACGCAGTCAGACAGATTGACAAAGGCCAGGACTTTTCGTGTTGATCACGTCCCGAGTGCTGAAATTGTTCGTACGAGCCCATGGCAAGTGCATGCAGGTGTGGGGGCATTCAGATTCAGATTTAGCGCCGAAGGCGTGTTCTGCAATGGTGCTTCCTTGAATTCGCGACGAAGTGCCTCAGCTTCTGTAAAGGCTTCTAAAACGACATCATGCATGCACAGGTCATTGGTCACACTTGTCATGACAGCCTTCGCGGTTGATCGACTTGTTCGCCGCCCCTGCTGGATCGCAAGCTCTCAGCTGCAGTCGTAGACGTCGTAGGTTTCGGGTCGAGGATATTGGCGTTACTCACCTCCGGCATATGGTCGCTGCAACGGCTTCAGTGTTCAGAGCGACTTGTCACCATAAGGCCAGTCTGTCATTCAAGCAGACGGGCACACAGATATGTTTTTTGGTTTCTGCATTCAATATATAATGTGGTGACACCTTCCTGAGGTTTGTGTACTGGTGCTCTCCTGGCACTGGGCTGTTGCTGATCTTCAACCGCTGCATGGTGGACACAACAGAGCATGTCGCGGCATTTCTCAAAGCGGAGCCTGGGAAGCTGGTTCAAACACAGTCGAGGGGTGGTCGGCTGACAACTTGGAACAGTGCAAACGAATTTGTACAGGATCATGCCAAGCTATTGAGTTTGTTGCAGCTCGGAGAATATGCAGAGTATGGAATGCACCAGTCATGCACTCGGTGAGCATGCCTGGATCTGAATGCTATGCGAAGCCAGCTGGTCTCGCTGACCTGAAGCCGACCTTTACCCATTGCCTCTCCGTTGCAAAGGACGGTTGCAACGCGATTGCCGAAAGGGTCGGCTGCTTGAGCAGACAGAGTGCTGGCTCGAGTGCGCAGGGCACTCCAGATCCATGTGTATGGTGTGGAGGCAAAGACTGCCACGGCGATTCGCATGCAGGATGTACGGCTTTCTCCATGCTTGCGAAGACAACAGCAAACACTGTGACTGCAAATGCCTTTGAGAAAGTTGGTGCACTTGAGGTAGCCCACTGCATAGCATCATCGCCAGAAGCCGGCGATGCAGCTGTGCCGGGGACTCCTCCCGTTCCCCCAGTGCCACCACCACCCAGCCCACACACTGCACAAACTGGCTTGGTCACTATACAAAACGATGCTTCAAACACATTGCTTGGAAGCGCGCCACCTACACCGAACGGGGTGCAGCCTGACAGGAAGCGCAGCAACAGTGTTTGACTGATTTTATATTGCTTAGCGTTGTGCGATATTGTTTTTTTGTCAGCTCGGGAACGACTCTTCGACGCACTAAGGCAGAATGGTACCAAGATGGACTGCTTGCAGCCGGCTACATCTTGTGGTGCCATCAGGGACAAGCTGATCTGTTTGAGCAGCAAGGACTTCATCATGTTAAGGCGGCTCAATTTGCCATATCGTCGCTTGTGCAGGACGGGCGGATCGGCTTGAAGGAGCATGGCCTCAATGTTGGTGGAGAAGCACCTGGATCAATACATCAGCCGTGTGAGCTGTGATAGCTCTGTTGTTGCTATATGGCTGACGAAGGCATGTGTGTGGTGTGGTGGTGAGCCCTGCACGAGCGGCAGCCCTACGAACTTTTGCAGCGTCATTTTCAGTAGCAGAGCATTGTCGCAAGCGAGTTTCACCGTTTGGCGAAATCTCAGGTAATGGCGGCAACCTCTGTAGCTGACTCAGCAGACGACAGCAAGTGCATCCGTACCACGCTCTCTCTCTCTCTCTCCGTCTGTCTGTCTCTCTTACTTTTTTCCGTGTTTTCATTTGAATGTCTCCCTCGTTGTCTAACCACCCGACAGTAAAAGGCTTGTCCAGTTTCGGTGGGGGTGACAGGCCAACTTCAAACGTGCAAATGCGTTGAGTCTAGTTCGCCAGACCTTCTGTGACGAGTGGCACTCACAAAATGTGGCATAGCAAGTAGAGGCACTTGTAAGACCATCACCTTGCCAGGGCGCACTTGTAACTTTGTACATGTGCAGGAAGCGGTTGCTTGAGGACCCAACCTCCTGTCTGCGCACACCCGGAGTTCTTGGGTGTGTGTGTGTGTGTGTGTGTGCACGCGTGCACGTGAGATGGCCTGAATGCTTGTGTCTTTATGGCCTTGCCTGCATCGGTGTGGGTGTGCCCAGAAAGGAGTGTTGACTTGTAGCTACAGCAGTGCTTGGTTTTTGCTTGTCTTCAACCGACGGCATCGCAGGCGAGCCCTATGACTGGCTTCAACACGGGGAAGGGCTAGCTTTCGCAAAGGCTTCATCCAAAATCCGCAAGACAGCCATGTTCGGGCCTCGATGAAAGTATATTGAGTGCACAACATGCTTGCACTGCACCTGTCTCTGATCTACTGAGTGAGGTGTTCCGAGGAAACAAGATTCGACATGGAGGAAGTGGGTTGCTTGCAGATGCAACCCGAAGGATGCAACAACATCCGAGCGAATGCCTCAGTTGCTGGTTGACGGATTTGTGACGGAGGAATGGTTGAGAATGGGAGAGCACCTGATGAGCACTTGATGTCTTGAAATAAGGAAAAAGATAAATGCTTGACAAGTGCCTCGGCCACTTCTATGGCAAATGTCAAGTGCGGCTTTTAACCCAATCGCCTGTAAGTCCCCTGAAGGCAGGGATGGCCGCCCGTTCATCCAAGTGGCCGGCTTTGACGTTCATGCCCAGCCCTGTGTCTGGTGCGGGGGGAAGCCCTGCCATGGAAACAATGACAATTTGTGCTGCTTGACGTGGCATAGAACCTGATGCCATGACGATGTGTGAGACAGCCCATGTTCTCCAGCGTGCATGACTCTTTGCAGACGCAGTCTCAGGCGAACCCTACGACTTTATAATCAACGGTGGCGGCCATGCTTTCAAAAACATTCCTGGGCCACGGACGGTTGCAGGCGAGGTATGGCCCCTCAAGCAGATCTGATTGGATTGCATTCCTGAATCCCAACATGCACAGAACGCTGCGCAGACAGTAGCCACAAGTCCCCATCACTTATCGGCCTATCCCTAAAATGTGGTTCAGCGTGTCAGCATTCCCACAAAAGCCGCAGTGTTGCAATCGGTGAGGGTCCAAACGAAATGGATGGTACTAGAATCAAATTCCCAATTGAAGCTCTGTAACCCTTCAGGTTGCAGAGCAGGTATGGCTTATGCGGATCATCTGTATGAAGACGCCACCGGGAAGGCCATAGCGAGAGAGTATAGGATGGTAAGTTTCGGACGAAGCATCCACAGTTTTTCTTTCATTGAGGTTGAAGAAGCGCCGGCCCTTCCAAAAGAAGGAGACTCGCAGGGGCAGCAAGTCGCTGTAGTAGGACAAGACCAGCCGAACAGCATGCATCCTCCAGCCGCTGCTGGTGCAGCCCTGCCTTTGCAGAACATTGGCCTTGATTGCTGGTATGAATGCAAGCAAACATCAGGCTTTTGCGAATTCTGTGGGGTTGGAAACGCTTGCTGTCGGGAGGGCTATGCAGACTCTCCAAAGGAGTGTCAAGGCAATGTGCACTTCACAACTTGGCATCATGAATGCATCGTGCCAGATCATTCCAAGAGCAACGTAGCTCACGAACAGATAGCTATTGCAGCACAGGCTGCTGCAAAGGAAGCCGCCGCTGGTGGTGCTACAGCGGAAGAGCAAGTACGGCAAGCAGCTCTAGCAGCGGGGCAGTACGCTAAGCAAATCGATGTGCCACCTGAGGCTGCCGCCAAGATTATAGCTGCTGGTGTCGAAGAAGCATCTAAAAGCAGTTCAACAGGACAGACGCCAAGCGAAATGAAAGCTGCAACTATAGCTGCTCAGGCAGCGGTTTCGCGAGGCACTCCGCAGGAGCAGCTGGCCGAGGTGGCTGAAGCGACTACTCAGGTGGCGGCGGAAGCAGGTAAGGGCTTCCAACAGCAGGCACAGGCTGCAGCAGTCGCGGCAGGCGCGGCTGCTGGGCAAATGGGGCTGCATGCAGCGGATGCTGCATTTGTAGCCGCGCAGGGGGCTGCCAGCGCATCACGGGCTGCTGGCGAAGGCGAGGATTCCGCAATCACGGCTGCAGCAGCTGCGGCCCACACGGCCGCTGCAGCAGCTGGCAAGTCAGGCGAAGCACTGATTGCCACCATAACGGAGGCGGTTGCTAAGGTTACAGCTTCTGCTGGCATGAGTGCAGAGGACCAGAAAGCAGCAGTGACGCAAGCAGCCGATACTTATGCTGCAGCTGCAGGCCTGTCGGCAGCAGCCGCCGAAGTGGCAGCACTTCACACCCTGGCAAGTAGCAAAGGCCGGGCGCCTGCGCCAGCACCAGTACCAGTCCAGATTGCACCAGAAGTCCCAAGTGCACCCTTGACAGAAGTCAAGAGCCCGACTGTAATGCCGACCGGCATGCCCGAGAATCCTGCACCCATTGCAACGCCCGCAACGCCCGCCGTAGCACCAGCAACAGCTGAGGCACCCACTATAGCACCAGCAATAGCAGCAAAGAATGCAACCTTGCCGACTCCAGAACAGGTGGCCCTCCAAGCGGCGGTGGCAGCATCTGCCGAATCACCAGCAGTCATGAAAAGTGCAGCCGAAAACGCGGCTTTCAATGCTGGTAGCTCCAAAGAGCAGGCAGCAGAAATTGCACGCGCAGCTGCTTTTGCAGTGAGTGGTGGCTCCGTGAGCGGGCACACAAGCGCAACCATCGCACCCTTAACAGAGGGAGTAGAGAAATCGTCGCAAAGCGGGGGGATGCTGAAAATGCCCGACAGAAAAGCAGGGATTGATGCAGCGGAAGCCGGCGCTGAAGCTGCCAGAGTTGCGGCGGCTGAAGGGAAGACACCTGCGGAGCAAGCCAAAGCTGCTGCAGAAGCGGCCGGCAGAACGGCGATGAATGGAGGTATGAAGCTGGTTGGAGCTGAGGAGGCAGCACGGAGTGCTGCCGTGCCACTTGGAAATAACATGCAGTATACAAAGTGTTTTGAAGGAGTCTTGGACATCTCGGTAGGAGTGAAACGTGTTGCAAGCATGCGAAAAGAGAAGCAAACAAACGGGTGAATCATACTCAGGAAAGCTGTGAGGGCTGCCGGCCTGGATTCCGAGGAGGCACTGGCTGGCGGCCTTGTTCTGTTTGCATGTGAAGCGATGATGGCCCGAGGCTGCAAGCGTTGGTACATCAGCTGCAGAGGAAGCTGCGTCGTCGGGTGCATTCACTGCCCACGACATTGTGGTCAGGTCCACGCAGCTTGGATCCTTCCAAAGCACTTTCCCAAGTTCTGAACAATTACGGTAAAACTAATTAGTGTCATTGCCCGGAAATTCCTGGGGTGCTTTGCTTTTGGATATTCGAATTGAGCCTAGCAGCAGTTCTCACATGTTGCGAAGTTTCTGGCTTGCTTAGGCCGAAGCAGCCGATGGCAATCAAGGTGGGGGCATGTGTCACGGGAGTCACTGACATGCTGAAACACTGTCGTCGTTATTTTCCTCGGCCAGGCCAAGGAGGCATCGGAGGAGGATGCAGAGGTGGCCGCAGTTCCACTTGCCGCTGAGATTTACAATCAAGCTTCATCTCGCAATTCTCCATTTTCCGCCTGATTTCAACAGCCACACTTGGCTCTCAAGATTCTGAGGATGCAAAAGGTTGTTCCGGAGATCAGTGTGACCACGGCAGATCCCATCTTGTGCTGCCACTCGCGGCAGCAGCTGTGATTGTGCTGCTGGTTTGCTGCGCGAGCTACGTCCTCACGTATCCCGGTCCAGTCTTGGTTTTCGGAAGGTTGGCGCGAAGTACGTCAAGCATGCAAGTTGCATGTATCCGAGGTCAAAGAAGAGACCCCGCAAAGGTGAGCGAAGCGTTGCTGTGGAACGCCCTGCCCCTGCTGATGTGGAGAGGGCAGAGGAAGCACCGTTGATTCAACACCCGGCTGCACAGCTCCCCGCACCACCGACCGCTCTCCCGAGAGCGGCCGTTCCTGGAGCTGCAACTCAAGCAGCTCCACTTATGCCGCGCACGGCTGTCGCTGCCCCCACGGTCTACACAACAGCGCAAGGTAGCCCTGTGTCGACCAGCTATGTTTCATACGTGCGAGGTGGGATGGCTGCACCGACTGGAGTTCGATTTGGTGTTTCACCCGCACCCGCAGCAGCAGCAGCGGCAGCGCACACTGTCAGCCACGGTGCCCAAGCGGGGATTGCAGGTCCAGCGGCACAGGCAGCCACCGCATCAACCATGGCTCTCTTTGATGCCTTAGATGCGAACGGAGACGGAGTTTTGGATGCAGCAGAGCTTGCACAATTAAAGATGGGTGGACCTCCTCCAGCTCGTCCTGCCTTACCCAGTGAACCTGTAGCGTCGGTGACACGCTTCCCCCCAGTCTTGGCCTTGGTTGCTACACGGCACGCGACATTCGTTGGGGCACTTGGAGCATCATTGCAGATCAAGGTCTTCCGAGCACCTTGAGTTGTGATGCAGCGGATCTTGTTGCATGTGGCAGCACCGAGCTCAGTTTAACAATCTTCACCGAAACCTCTGGTGCAGCAGGGCAAAAGTGTATCTGACTTGGCGTGGCAGGCCAAGTCCTCTAAAAGGAGGGCCGTTGATCTGCCAGCATCTTTTGAGGCTCAGCTGCTCCGTGTCAGTTTGAGATAGTTTGAGAGCATGCCTCCACTGCGTCCTGGCCCTTCGCCAACTTGGGTCGTGCAACAAGTCCACCTGCAAGGTGGCGACACGACTTGCACAGCAGCTGAAAATTGAAGAGCAAAAGCATCCTTCGTCGCCGTGGGTCCTGAGACCTGTCATGATCCGGCGAAATGTTTACTTGTTTCACTGCCAAGTCATGGCCAGATTCTCACATGCGCACATGTGCGTGTTATAATCTCATGCTCGCGGATGACGGACTATGGCACTTGTTTGCTCAGAACGCTGGCTGCTGACACTGAATGTGCAAAACGGCAAAGACCGCAGAGGATCATCATCGTCGTCATGCTGAAAAGATGTGCGAGTGGTGCCCTGCTCTGAAAGACTCGTGTGTTCGATACACAGGATCATGATCTGCAACTTGGCCCAAACCCATGAAGCACCGAGCTGCATGGCCGAGGATGACGAACCTGAATCGGAAACAAGCAATCTGGTCTGGGTAAACAGTTTGCTCAGGGCTCTTTGGCCAAAGGCCACGGCAGCCTTGGTGGCCTTCGCCCGCAATGAGCTAACATCCAAGCTACAGCATGGACTGCCGCTTCCCTTCAAGCGTGCACACTTTGCAAGGTTCTCTCTTGGGGACGGGGTTCCCAGCTTTGGTCCGATTGATGTCATTCGTCGATCTGACAGCCACATATGCATTGAGGTGGAAATGCGCTATTTCAGCATCGTGGACATTCTGCTGTCGGGGTATGAAGGGTCGGGTGTGTCGGTGGGAGTTCAACAGATTAGATTCCATGGAAGGTTGTGCATGGAAATGAAGCCGGTCCTGGACACCTGGCCAGTTGTTGGTGCCGTTTTGATATCCTTTGCTGGACAACCGCAGTTGGAGTTGGAGTTTAAGGGCATTGCAGACGCTCCTCTGCCGGGTTTGGCCAAGAAGATTCAAGGCATCGTGGATGCCTCACTGTCCCATTTTGTGCTTCCGAATTGCAAGTGCATCCGCCTCACGACTGATGAGCGTTTGTTGAATTTGGCGGCTTGCGGCAGGGAGCCCATCGGTGTCCTTGAAGTGCGAGTTTTACGGGGCATCAACTTGGCAGGTGCCAACTGGCGCGTGGCGATGGGCTCCAACGTGCGAAGCTTCAACTCCAACCCGTACTGTGTGATACAGGTGGGCAGCAGTACAGCACAGACGAGCACAGTCAAAGCAACCACAAACCCCGATTGGAATGACAACCCTTTCTTTTTCATCGTCTATCACAGAGATCAAGAACTCCTGATCGATGTCAGAGATGATGATGGCGGTTTTCTGCAGCGAAACTTTGTCGGACTCCTTGGGCGCTTGCGCATTACGGTTCGTGAGCTACTTTCACACAGGCCTCGACCAGACTCAGGGGCCTGCCGTTTTGCACTGGATACTTCGCAGGTCAAACGCGGGCTGCTTCATGTAGATGATCCGGTCAACACTGGAGTACCCTCAGAGCTGGATGTTCTTGGCAGGTGGTTTGAGATTTCTCAACGCATGCCAGACATTGAGCATGCCCCTGCCTGTGCGCCTGGTGGCATAATCTTGGTGGAGCTTCATGGTGGAACTGGGTTCCCAGAGGAACTCGCAGGTTCAAGCTTGACCAGTTTGTTCTGGGCCTGCTCGCTGAGCGAAGATGGAGTGCATGGCAGTAGCTACCGCAGTTCCGCAGGGAGGCGGTCTCCTGAGGAGCCCGATTTCCATTTGCCCATACCCCAGTGCCTGTATCAGGCCATTGACCAGCTCACGGCTAGAGGTGTTGAGCCTAAAGAGGTGGCTGATATCGTTCAGGTTGACCATGCGCAAGTCCTTCAGTACCTGTCTGCCAAGTCGCGCTTTCTACAAGATGTGTCCGCGCGGCAGCTGGAGACTGGTGAGGATCACTGTGTCGAAGTGGCATGGCACGAAACGTTGGCGATGCTTGTGGTGGGCTCAGTGCAAGAGCTGCGTCGGCATTCATTTCATTCGGCTGCCTCGGTCGAAGCTGTGAGGTTGCCAAGCCACTTGCGACTCATGTCCATCTCACTCTCTTACATGCTGACCGTGTTCTCGGAAGCTTGGGCTGCAAAAACAGGGGCACTAGCACAGGGCCGGCATAGAGACCTCAGCCACTATGCGCTCCTTCCTGCTTTGCTGGAGAGAAGGCAGGCCTCCACCCTAGGAGGAGCTCCGAAGTCAGGCAGACTTGAGCCAGAGCACAATAGTGCGCAAGAATCCGCAATATTTTTAAACGAATACAGTAAAAATCTAAATCTGCATGTAGATATAGGTGTAAATATCAATAGTACAGTATGTATGTATATACATATATATATATATGTGTGTATATATACAAAGCCTTTTCCAACTTTTCTGAGGTGACGTTGAGCCCATCAGAGCTGCTGAGCCGCAGGATGTCCCACGCCCACCTAAAACCCACTTCAAGAATCGGTGTAGCAAGGGGGAGGTAGTAGTTACGTACATGGCGGAAGACTAGTCTACCCGGAATAAGACTATCGCAGAGTGCATTTGCTGGCACACCATGCGCCATGGCATGCTACAATATGGCTCTGCAGTTCCACATGCCAGGTCGCGGATGCGCTATCCGGAGCCCTGGAAGCATGCAAGTAAGGTGCCATTTATGCGAGAACAGGAAGGGAGACTTTTGGAAAACTTTAATTAAGGTGCCGGGCAACTGCGGAGGTTGTGCAGTTTTCGTCCGGCAGATGCGGCTGGAGCTGCCCACTACCTCGAACGTCCAGGCAGCTTGGAGATGATTGGAAAACGGAGTCAGGAGCACGAACTGCTATCTGAAACAATACGTGGTTGTCAGTCGCTGTGTCGGAAGGCAAGCTCTCGGCATGGATGTTCCCAGCATGCACTGCGCCCGCTCCATCCACGAAGCGCTTCAAGCCTGCGCCGCCCAAAGACTTTCCGTTGGTAAGTGTAGCTTCGAGACTACCATGTTCACGTGATTGCAAGCAACTTGAAATCTACAATCTGAAGCCACGTTGCATGTTTGCGTCTCTTGCAACTAGCTTGGAATCTGTACAAACCAAATAGATAACTGCTGTTAGACCGGTCCAAGGCAACTGCAGAGAGAGAGAGAGAGGGAGAGAAACCAGTACAACGATTGCGGCGTGCTCAGATGGGCATTGCAACGACAGTCCTCACATGAAGCCCGGGGACTATGTAGCTGGTTGTTCGTGAGCCGGAGTGAAAACAATCCGTGAGAGTGCCTGCGTGCTGCGTGTTAACATGCCAGTGACGATGTTGTGCAACGCAGGAGGGCCAAAGAGAGAGAGCGAGAGAGATTGTGGCCTCCAAACGCAGCCCTCGCAAGCAAGCAAGAGACCCTGACACTGCTGCTTCGTGCAGCAACAGGTGAGGCAGAGGTGATTGCAAGTAGACAATCCGTGCAGACGTCGGTGCGCAAAGGCTTGTCTTTGTACTTCGCTGTGAGCGCCGAGGTGCGCATGGAAGTTTCTTTGCGCTACCAATCCCTCGCGCCGCGAATAGAATCGGCCTGACCGTCCCGGCGACCACGTGGTGACCTCACTATCTGCCTTGTGGGGATGTGCCGCTTATCGCTCTTGCCATGCCAGCACCGTGCACTTACCGAAGTAAGCCGAAGTCGAAGTACGACATCCTGTTGCAAAGACGAGCAGAAGCAATGATCCGGCAGGCTTTGTAATGGTCGTGGTGCCTTCTCAAGGCATGTCACGAAACGCTGCTACAGCTCGAAGTTTGTTCACCGTAGCCGTGGGCTGGCAGGACTTCCCGATGAATGCGACAAAACCAGTGACCAGCTTCATCCGACAGTCCACAGTTCAGGGCCGACCGGAATTGCAGCTGAAGCCAGGGTCCAGGTTGATGTTCCCAAAGATTGAAATAATCTGTTGCTCTCTATTATGTCTGCCATCTATGTGGGGTCAGCTACGTTCTGTGCTGAACGGCAGCGCAGGCTACACATCCCCCGTGGAATTCCTTAATATTGAGTTCTGCCGATTACTGTGTCACCAGTTCAGAAAACCAGCCATTCTTCTGTGTGCGTGCCCTGTGACCAAGGGATTGCAGATGTACAGAGAAAAAAGCCGGGGATGTATCTAGTGACGATGACGGCAGGTTGGTGACAAGCCTTGCCCAAGGAAGCCAAGTCACTGGCATGGATGCCGTGGCTGATCACCACAACATCACCACTGTGTACCTGCCCTTTGTGACCCAAAACATCATACTCGCTGTGCGTTGTTTTAAATGGTGACGTGCTCTGCACACGGTTGCCACAATCTGAAGTCAGTATTTTGAGGATGTATGCTGCTGTCTTCATGTCGTCAATCACATGGCAACCAGGCCGAGCCGAGGACTTGGGTGAAGTGATCATTTAACTGCCTAGTGGCTACCTATCTTTACCTCCGCCAAGAGGAAATAGAAAAACAAGATCAAACCAGAGGGAAGATGGCACAAATGTGTATCTGGACGGTTTTTCGTTCAACATGCCGTCTACGGTAGGAAAGCCTATCTTGCATTGAACTTTGCACGGTTCTGAACCCCAATCGGTTCCATTTGCTTGAGCCTTGATCGGCTCACCTGAAGAATCGTCGTGCTCGACAGCACAACAACGATCCTGATCGATCAATTGCGAGGCTGGTTAGAACTGGACGGATCGTCAAAACACATGGCAGCAAAACCCAAGCTGGTCTTCCAGCAGTTGGCAAAGCTGCGACAACAACGATTCAACCTGGAACAAGTCTTCGAACCTTTTCGAACCCTAGAATTTCAAACATTCATTTCACACTCAACGCCTCCCAAAGCAACTAACCACCAACTTTGAGCAAAACCTCCAGCAGCCCCAGCAACAACCGCAGCCCCTCGCCGGCCCCCCTGCCGGCCTGCAGCCTACAAGAAGTGTCTGTCCACTTCAAACAAAGGTGACAACCGTTTGGGGCGATACAGTCTATTGCGAAGAAGATCATCGTTTCTCGAGTTCATGAGCGCAAATATTGACTGCATGATACTTTCAAGCTAGCCCAAAACGCGCAGCACGTTTCGTTGCTGACTTCGGTCACGGCCTTTGCAACATTTGGTCTAAGGAGCTTGTCCCCCCGCTCAGCCCGACCCCCCGGCTTCCAAAAAACTTATCTCCCTCTGCAGCTCCCGCTCCAGCCCCGGAATGTCGCGAAAGAGCGCTGACCATCGCTCTTTTGTTTCTTGTCGTGCACCATGTTTTTCTCTGGCAGCTGCTCTGGATCAGCCGGCGGGGTTCATTTTCTGAACATCTCTTGAGGTCGTTAGCTGAGTTGTTCAAGCCAGGCAAAAACAATTCTGAAAGATTTCTCCAGTGCTGGCCAAGCAGCCATGACTTGGTGCGGATGAGATTTCCATGACATCGACAGGGAAGGCATCGAATCGTGGTCTTGTGATTGCTCGGGTAGTACCTATATTGCTGGCCGTCGACACGCCTTATCTTTGGACGGAGCCGGTTCTCACTGGAGACGATTGTGCTCACCTGATAACGCTGGCACGAGCAAGGGGAATGAAACCTTCGTTTGCAAAGGAGCGGGCAATGCAACGCTTGGTTCTTCAAACCCGGTCCTTCGGCTTCCATCTCTTTGACTTTGATGCATCTGGAGATCTTAGTGGTCTGGAACTTGCAGCTGCAGCGAGGTCCCTGCTAAATGCTCCACTTTTTTCTGCGCAGGATGCGAGAGCCTGGAGTTTTGCCAGCACTGGCAAGCCAAACTTGTCTCTAGCGTGGCTGGATGACGATGAGAACTTGGCAACTCTGGCACTTCGCAGCAGGGAAGCAGCTGCCCGAATAATTGAACACCGCCCAGAGAGGCTGGCGAGGCACTCATTCCAAGCCTCGCTGCCATGGGATGCTGGGGAGTTGTTAGCAGCGCTTGCGTTCAGGCTGAAGATCCGAGCACAGCCCCTATTGGCCAATAGCTCCTGGAGCGACTTGGAACTGCAGGTTGAACCTCTGCAGGTAATTCGTTACACACAAAATGGACACTACGCACCACATTCCGAGCCCTCGGCTGAAGGGTGAAAGCATTTTGTTTAATTGTGCTAGTACTTGCGAGAACTAGGTCACTCTGGAGGGGCCTGATCCTGTGCCAATGTTACTTTGATTCGGGAACTCGAATGATCGACAGTCCGGAGGCCAGTCGCGCCATACGTCGGCAAATAGAGAGCGGCCCTCTTAGAATCGAGACGATGGGGGGACGGCAGTTCATTGGGCTCATTCAAGGAGCGCTTGCCCTTTGGTAGCCTTGCCTTGGAGGCAATCGGCCTTGGGTAGAGTCGTGCTGCCTGCGAATTCCCACATGAACCACCAAAGTCCTACCTGGGTTGCATAACGTGGAGCTCCCTGCCTATTTTTGCTGTGGTAGCTGGCCGGGCAGGTTTCGGACCCCATTCGCGAGAAGAGGCAGAGCCCAGGTGCTCAGAATTACCAGTATGGTGAGGTGGTGGGCCGTGTTCAACAAATCCATTTTGCTGAACATTGCCGGGTTTGGGTAGCTAGAGATCGAACAGCGAAGAGAAAATTTGTAAAGGTGGCCCAGGAAGCTGGCGCCATTCATGCTGGTTTCCAAGAGTTGAATTTCGAGGAAAAATGTAGCTATGCCTTTCCCATGTTGATGTTCAGTTCATCTTTGCAGAGCAGATGTGAGTATTGTGTCAACCCCTGTCGATTCTGGATCGTCCTGAGCAGGCGGGGATAGGCCAAAGCCAGTTGAAGCTCGCGTCGTTAAGGACAGCGGTTGGCCTGGGCATCGCCATCTGTCTTTCTTGGTGTATCTCCAAGCTCCAATCAAAGGAGGCGAGACCTGCCTTCTGCGACTCGGTGAAAAGGACTCAAAGGACAGGAGCGGGAGGCGGGGCGGGTGTATATCTGCTGTGGCTTCACAACGATGCAATGGCCGAGGCCGTCTGGCTGGAATTTCAGTTTGCATCCGTGGGGAGCTGGACAGCTTGCTTCAGCTGACACGCGAGAGATATGTGTGACCAGAAAGCTGCATGAGGACGTTACCGCATGCATTGCGCCGAACTTCTTCAAGCTGCCTCCGGGCTGGAATGACCCACGCGACTGCAGCAGGAGCGATAGGTGCTGCTACTGCTGGCCCTGTCCTACCAAGGTTGGTGCCGTTTGCTTTTGTCCCGTTCCTGGGCGAATGCTTGCATGGAGGAACGACTGGAATGCGGCCCCTTGGCTCACCTCACACACCTCAGTGCAGACTTCCGTAAGCTCTTCCCGGATCCAATTCCTTTTTGCCGATCTAACTCCTGAGCCCGAAAACAAGGTCACCTTGTTTGCATTTGTCTTTGTTTGCGCTTTGTTGAGACTGTTTGTCCAACCTCCCACCGAAGTCTTGGAACTATCTTACTATGCATTCACAAATGGATAGTATCTGGCTCAGTCTTTGCAGGGGTTTGGTAGATTCATGCGCGGTCGGTCTTTCCAGGCTGAAAACTGGTCCTACAAGGCTGGGTGTTGAGCTGGCCCAGCCCGGTCCGCACCCTCAATGTTAAATGCAGGGCATACATCTGCTGATATATTTTGTCAATCCAACACGCAAAGTCAAGAAATTGGACCCGCCGAAATCCTCGCATCTCAGGCAAAAAGACAAAACACAACACAACAAAAAGGAATCATGCATGTAGATGTAAATAAACCATAATAAGCCAGTCAGTGTTTTCATGACATCAGCAGTTTGTGCATGATGTTTTGCTGCTAGGACTAATTAGGGTATGGTCAGGGGTTTGGTTTGGGGCGCGCGACGCTTACTTTAGGTTGGGATTTTGGAAAAGGACTGAAGGCATGGAGCCCGAAGTCCGGGGGCTGGACAACGGATTGCAATTTCCATTTATGGCACGGAGGTATACGGAGGTCTGCTGGGGTTTAAGTATTGTATAGGGGATTAAGTAAGGTTTCAAGTTTGGGTTTCCGTTCTTGCGAGGCCAAGGCTGTGTGACTTAAGTTCCCACAGCATACAGACTCGACTCAATGTTTCAGAGATATGCAAGCTAGGATCTACACTAGTTAAGAGCCCTGAACTCTGTGTGTTTCCAGGTCTTCACCGACTTGGCATGTGGCTGCATGTTCATGTGTTTGTGTGTGTGTAAACACGTGGACATGGTGAAGTGCAACCACCCGCTTTTCTTTGCAAAGGCACATGGCATCCACAGACTACCGTGTGCAACGTGTGGATGAGACACTTATCCAGCCTGATCAGCTGGATGCATGTGCAGAAAACGATGGACCCCCTGTGGCATCCAGCTTAGCCGGTGGCCCCCTGTGGCACCAAGATTAGAGTTTTCTGTTTTCATGTCGTGGCATGTCTGAATGGTTCACACTGTGATCCTCAATTTCATTTTGTCGTCGTCTGGTCCGGTCTGTCGCACGTCGCAGTTGCCCATGCCAAGCATAAGTGTAAGTGTGTGTGTGTATGTAAACATGTCAGACAAGACTGCGTTGTGAGTAAGACCAGACCCTGCTGATCTTGGCCCTGACAAGCCAGCAACGAAAAATTCTGCAGCGGCTGAGTTCTCTTAACAAGAGGACGGTTCATTGGAAGTCCCTGGTGCGCACGTCGCCTGTCCAGTTGTGGAGGGCTTCTTGGCTGCATAGCCGGCTATGTCACTCGCAAGCGAATCTGGCATCTCGCTGTAGATGACGAAATAAGGTGAGAAGTGGGTGGCGAGCGCATGGGCCAGCCAGACATGCGACCAAGGCACTGTGTGCCAGACGCACGCCGGGAGTTGAGAGAAAGTGCCGCGCAAGGAAAAACGGTAGTCTCAAGCACTGCGATGCTAACGAACATGATTCGCCGCATTAGCCGCCTAGGTGGCTGCAGCATCTTCAGGCCAAGGATATTGTCGGAAAGCTGCAGCTTGCAATTTTGTTGATAGCCTTCGCAGATTTTCGTAGTCCCAAAGGCAACAAGCACATTGCAGATCCCACTGAGACGTCCGCAGTCACATGTCGTTCTTGAGTCGCATCTTGTCACATGCACTGAACATGTGCATGGTCCACGTCGCTTGAGCAAAACGAGCCAGTTCCAACGGAGCCTGAATTGTCCATGTTTGGGAAATCGTTAGAGTGTCTTCAATTCTGCTGTTGGCCGTCGCCTCTCGGCATTCAGGTTTCCGTCGAGTACTTGCCATACCGGTTGGCTAGAGTTGGTGGCAGCAGACTCGTTGTGATCCATTGGTTGCATAGGGGCACTGAGAGCTTTCGCGCGATGCCTGGTGGACCTGGCCTCACTGCCGCCGATCACATACTTTGGGCCCAGAGGACCCCAGCAATGAAGCGGTGCGAGCCGCAGTCGATGCAGTCGTACCAGCCCCTGGCAAGCCAGGATTCAGAAGGAGGAAGTCAATGCGAAATCTCGTCCGGATGGCTTTTCTGTCCGAGCGGCAGTCAGCGTCCTGCGCTTACTTGGACAGGGTTGCGAGCATTCGTTTTCGAGCTGGACATGCGTACAATGCAATTGATTGACACATGCACGACATCCCAGCAAGATCAATCGCCACATTTGCTGTTGACACTCTCAATTCTGGTTCGACCTCGGCATCTAACAGCTTCAGAACCGCTCGAGTGGCTGAGCCAACCAACAGGCAGCATTCCGAGTGGCAATGGGTGAATCACATACGCAGCACATGCATGATACTGCATTTACAGCATGTGTGACCCCTGGCAATAAGTTCGTCATTTCTGTGGCGAAAAAAGACGAAACAATCTGATGCGAGCTCTTGCTTAAGTCGATCGAAGACCTGCTGCGTGGGGGCCGACCAACACGTGCGGTGTGATGCCGATGTGATCAACCTCGCACTCCTTTTCGAGATGTCGCATGATGACATGTGACTACCATCGCGTGCGAGCAGAGACTCAGCGCAGACTCGACAGCCGAAGCGCGGCAGCCGGATCTGTATGAGCTGAGAAGGCTGTGCACTCTGCTGCATGGGACAGGCGTAGGTTCAAGCATGAAACGAACCTCAGGATGTGTTGGCATGCTGACCTCAAAGAGAAGGGGCACTGAGGGGACAGCCACTTTGTCAATCCCGCAGAATTGTTACCGTTGGCTGTTGATGTCGGATTCCTTACATATCAGGGACAGCCAGGCCATTCGAAGTGTCAAGATCCGGCGAGCACAAATGGCAACACTAAGGTCATGAAGGAACAACATGCCACGCTGAACTTTTTGAGGGTTGGACGGTTGGACCTGTTGGTTCAAGGGCGGGGAGAAGGCATTTGCTTCCGAAAGCATGACCCTTCGGTCGCATGCTTTCGGCTTGAGACTTCAGATTCGGCTGGATCAGGATGCCGAAAGCAGAGAGCTGAAAATTCAGGAACCAAAGCTTCTCTGAAGTGAACTGCAGAGTCTCGAGGCCGATGCAAGTGAAGAGACTCATGTGTGCTATGCAGGTGCCAGGGGTACCTACCAAGTTCAAGCCCGGAGCTTGGAAGCTTTCAGCTGGCACTGCCGCTGCGGCGCAGTCTCGGACGCTGCAGGCCGGGCCACATGGATCCACGGGAGGCCTCAGGCAATGGCAATGAATGGTTGCCATGCGTTGAACCTGCCAAATCTGCCGCACTTTGACGAAGAGGCTCTGGCTTTAACCCTGCTGCTGTAGGCCTGTGAGCGGGTGCTTCTTGCGGCGGTGTTGCATCCCTAGTGCCCCCGCCAGGTTGGGACCCGGCTGGCACTATGACTGCGGAGTTCCGCCGTTGCATGAACCAACAAAGCGACGGGGTCCCAGACACGATGATGATACCGACATAGGAGTGTGCTGTAGAATTGAAGGCTTGCGATGTTCCATTGATTTTCATGGACTTCAGTTGGGCACTGTGACCTGAATGAACAGAGCCACGTGCTTGTGAAGACTCTCCGTTCGTAAACGGTTGCAACCGTAGGCCTCTCACGCGGCTTATGCAAAGCCGGGAGGCGTGGGGAGCAAAGGGGCAGGGGCCGGGGGGGTTTGGGGGTAGGGAGAGCCAGGGGGGTGGGTGGGAGTTAACGAAATGTTTTGTTTGCGACATGTTTGCTCTTCCGTCCTGCCCTGTCCCGCCCGTGTTCTATACCCTTACCGAGAGCAACAAAAGAATAGTAGAACAAATGAGAACTCTTGGCGTTTGCTGCTTAAGTGACTGGGCTTTACAACGTGAAGGATTTTGAGATGATTTGGGAATACGGCATACCTAGGGCTGCTACAGGAGGACCTTGTGGAGCCCTTTGCTCCTGCATGATATCGGGACCGTCACCTAAATTTGGCGCAACTTTCGGGCTATTTCGGTTTGAGGTTCGTCATTGGTTCGCCATTGGTCTTCCACAATCATGAAAAGGATAGGATGAAGAGCTTTGCCTTGGATCCTCAACCCTAAACCCCTGGGCCTGAATGTCATAGCAGCCAAGATCATGAAGGGCATTGTTGCAGAGCCGTAGAAGTTCGTTTAAGCACTTTGCCATAAGTCACTATGATGCTTCCGGCTTTCGGTGTTTCGGCCTTTGGGAACTGAGTCGTTCTACCGTGCTTCTTCGGCGTTTACACAATAAATGGAGACTTGGGGGGAGAATGTAGTTCTTGAAACCATGATACCACGGTGCAACACCACCGAAGTGCGGTGAAGACACCGGGATGCCATACTGCATTTGCCAGTAGTCGTCTACAATATGGCCAATAGCACTCTTTCTCAAGTATACAGTATGGTATGCCTGGCTAGGGTAATGAGAGCAGTTGTCTCGTGTAGTATATGCTCTGGGTGAGCCTGTGCCAGGGAGTCTCAATGGATTCTTCGGGGTTGGGCAAGCTAAGAGGATTTTCAGTGGAGCTGTCGGGAATGCATAATCCAGGGATTCTGATGGGATTCCCGATTTCTCTCAGGCTGGATACTCCAAGGATTCTCGGGGGTTCTCTGCATCCAGCGATTCTCTGGGGTTGGGCACTCCAGGGACTGAAATCGAACAGCGCCACACCGAGCGTGGGGAACAACGGGGGTAACAAAACCGTTCACGAGAAAGAGAGAGAGTGGTTAACAAACTGTTGTTTGACAGGCGCTGCATGTTTGTTCTTTGCCGTCTGTGATCGCTAGAGATGGCCAAAGTCAGCAGTTGGCATTTCCTTGGCTGAACGTTGCTCCTTGCCATCCGCTTTGCGAGTGGAGGCCGGGCCACGGGAGCGACATTTGTGGCTGGGACAAAGAGCGGAAAGAGCAGCACATTCGGTTTCTTCGAAGAAGTCAGGAAGTTGTGCCTCACCCAGGTTTCCAGAGACCTGCCAACAAGAGATTGGATGGATGCAGGCGACATGCGACATGGGGCAGTAGGGGATGCGGGATTGTGTTGTTTGTTATTTGTAATCGATGTCGATACCCTGACTAGTCACTGAGTGACTAGTCTTTGACATTGATTACTGCCAGGGCCAGTGTGGCAAGCCTGCACAAAGAAGTGCACCGGCAGGGAGCAAGCGCGGGGCAAAATTGTCGCCGATGTCAGAGCGTTCAATAGATCGCACGCAGACACAAAGACTTCTGACCAGGCCAACACGCTTGGGGGTGGGCTGGTTGATGAAGGAGCCACTTAAGTACTTGAGATTGCTTCATGCGTCGCAGCAACATTCAGGACGGCCATGGTGGCCCCATCAACAAGCTTGCAGCGGAGCGGGCCAAGGATGTCGTCCTAACAGTGACTTGGATCGGACGGTGAAAGGACATGCTGTCTTGTCGCATGCTTTAGCTCCTGGCCCGAGCACTTCCGTGCCTTCTCCACTCATCTCGATTCGACATGTCCTTCCCCTTCACCGAGTGCTTGCATGTTTACAGATGGGCTTGAGTTACATGTGGGAAAGCCGAGTACGGTTTCGTCTTCGTGAGGGCTAGTGCCCTTCTCCATTTCACCCGAGAAACAGAGCCCCCGAGCGCGAGACACCAATCCAGCCAAGGGGACTCGCAGGCTTGTGGCCGGAATTCCTGGGATGCCTGAAGTAGAGATAGACAGATATACACAACATGCCACAGTGAGTCATACTTTGATGCAGCGCCGCAAGTTGCACAGATGTTTAGTGTTAAAGGCTTCGCGTCGTCTGCCTCGGCCCGGCTGCACTTGAAGCAGGTGCACTGTTTCGGGAAGCAACGGGTAGGTCACGGGTGGGGTCTTGAGTGAAGGAGCGCATTTGCTTCGGCATGTTCTTTGAGGTCAGTATTTGTTTTCATGCTGAGGCTCCGAGCAATAATCCCAAGCTTGTTCTTGTCGTTTCTACTATCCTGCTTGACAGCGAGCATTGAAGTGAACCTACTTTTTGATGCGTTGTTAACGATCCTTCGAAGACAGTATCGTTGTGGACCTTGCCAGGCTTGTCCGAGTGTGAGTGTCAAAAAAATCCCACGCTAAAGGTGGCACTTTCCCTGCATTATCCCATAGACTCCTAGCATTACGACAATAATCGTATCACACTTCTGACTGGTCTGCTATACAACCTCCCATACGTTGGAAGGGGAATCCCAGGCTTTGGCATCAACACGGAGCGGGGTGTGGGTCACTGGGGAGGCGGGCGCTTTGGTCGGGGCCGAGGCGAACTAGACTGATAGTCGCACAGAGTATTTTTGGCAGAGCACCGGCGACCACGAAGAACTGCACTGGCAAGGGTAGAGCGTCGCGCATGGTTCTGGACGTCGGCAGCGTGGTTTGAACGTCAAGTCGGGTACACACCTGCGTTGAAGCCAAATCGCCACGGCCGGCTGCTGTGTAAATCGGCGTTCAGGGCTTACCTGTGTGATATTGTGTGGTCCCTAAAAGTGCGACATGTTGGAGGCTTTTTCGTGATGCGTTTGTGCAGGGAGATGTAGTATCAGAATGATGTGCCCAGCCTCGCTCGGTATGCCTGAGCCGTGTGCATGTACTTCTCGCTGCATGCCAATCCCACAGCATGCGGTAACAGCAAAGGACCAGGGCTCAGAATCGCAGCCTTCGCGAAAGCGGAAGTCCAAGGACGCTCGACGTCAACTCTAGTGGGAAGACACAGTCTTACAGACACTTTCAAACAAAGGCGGCTCTGTTGGCAGGATGGCAATGTCAGAGAAGAACTTGGAGTGCCGCCAGTCCCTCAGTGAACCGCTGTGAATCTGAGGGCTTGACTTTCGTTCCGTGAAAGTGGCATAGCGGCAGAAAGAATTTGTACAAGAGCCATGCCACTTTGACATGCCGGACATTGCCGGACACAGTATTTAGTTGCCGCTGCAGCTGCAGCAGCTTTTGGGAGCATACCGACCCTTGAAGACCCCCCTAGGCGCCCATGATTCGCTTTGGTTTATGTGCGGGTGGATGGTTTTGGGCGGCATGTTTCTCGCCTTAGAGTTCTGATTCTATGTCATGAGATGTTTCTAGTCGGCTCAAGATGGCGTGGCTATAGACTCTGGACTCTGGACCTCAGGGCTTGTGTTTTCGAAACGCGGCTGACACCCACAGAGCCGCACATGTCCTCAACACAAGCACCTTGATCAACTAGGTTTGTTACGTCTTCGTAAAAGCCCAAGCAAGCCACGTGACATCTAGTCCAAGATGAGACACAACAGGCCGTATGCTACCAGCATCCCTTGCGCGGTGTGGGAGGTGCTGCTGTGAGTGTGGGCAACACATTGCAGGTAATGCATGTACAAGTGCAGTTGTCAGGACACTCCTCCTCCTCCTCCTGTTCCTCCCCGTCCTATTCCTCCCAAATTTCGAAGGACGCGAAGTCAGCGTGGCACCTCAGACCGGCACGGTGGATGTTTAAGCGTGCGTGCATGGCATGGTTCGGCCCATGATGCCGCATGCAGTGTGAAAGACCAAGTCTCCCCACTGTCCGCTGCTCTCTCGAGCCGTGGGAGTTGGGAGGTGCAAAGTTTAGAAGAGAATTGGCCACAGTGCCTGCCCTGGACCCTGAATGTAGGGCAGGGCTTGGGGCTTGGAAAGGGCAAGGTGGAATTGGGTAGGGTTGGGGCTGCGTGGGGTCCCCGAGCAGGTGCGAATGGGAATTTGCTAACGAAGTTTCGGCCCCGTAATGCCAGCGTAAACTGGACGCTGCCATACCACCTTCACCAGACCCTGCTCGTCCTGTTCCCCATCGCTGGCACCTGAGATTCCTGTCCCTTTGCCGTGCTTACCCTGCCCAAACGCCTGTTCGGTTTACAATGAACACACACCAGCACACGCTTCACAGTACACTTAAGGCACACCTTTTTTTTGACCGGACGCACAATGGTGTGAGAAGGACCCAGGCAGGGTCCCATCGCACACGACACTGCCCATACACCTCCGTCCCTAGACGGCGACTTGGGGCCCAGAATGGGCCTCTCAGGGCGGGCGGGTGGGTTTTTCTTGTGAACCGAGGTCGGTTCGGCACTCCACACTCAACACTTGCTGCGGGCAAGCTGCATAACACACATGACGTGGTTGCGCGTGAGTGTTCGCCGCATGCACTTGGTTGAGTGTCAGTGCGTGCAAGCGTACAGGGAGTTCAGGGTAGAGGCTTGGATCTTCCATGAGCAGTGCTCGAATCATCCCCCCACCCTGATGCCCTCTATCTGCCCACAAAGCACAAACCAAGCAATTTTCGTGCCCGAATCCTACACCGGCATGCACCCGACTGAGCTCCCTTGTTCGCACATTGCGCACATGTTATTGTCTCTCAACCTCGAAGCCACAATTCTTCAAGCTATAACTCGTAAGCATTCGGGGTTTGGGATCTAATCAGGTACCAGATTCGATTGTCTGGGCAACCTACAAAGTGTATGTCGGTCGACGAGACGCTCTTTGAGAAGAACCCGAACAGATGCGGCAGTGTTCTGCAACACAGATGACTCAAAGTGAAAACCCTTTGCTCCCTGTCCGGTTCCCCTCTGACACGCACCTTGAATTCCTGACCCGTGGTTGCTCGCGATTGAGCTCTGGCACTGCTGCAGTGGACTGCTTCTTGAATCGGTGCTTTGCCCTCAGATCACGGCTAGGCAGCTAAGTGGCCGTTGCCGTAGCTATTGGCATTCTGCCAAGCACACCAGACTCAGTATTGCTGTGCTGCCAAGCACGCCTTGCTGTGTCCTATAAGCGTGTGAGCAAGGCAAACGACGGCAAAACACGCCTAGCCATGTCGAGCATACGCCTTTCTGAGTTCAGTTCCCGACTCCGACTCCAAAAGGCAGTCGGTTCCATAGGGATGCGGTTCCCTCAAGGTCACGGATCTTGCCAGCCGGCAAGCGACCGCAGCGAACTGGCTCCATGCCGACATCTCATATGAGCCATGCGTGATGCCAACAGCAGCACAGAGTTTTCTGAGGCCAACGTTGCCAGATCCATGCAGGCTGCGGTGCTGGTTCGTTCTTGCGTGCACGGCTTCGGTTGCCGCATCTTGTGGGAGGCTGCATCGTTGCAGGTAGCAGTATTGGAGCAACTGGCGGGATGAAGTCCCATCACCATCATAACTCCACCACGTCTGTGCTGCCAGCTGCGCCATGCCCGTGTGGGCTGCTTCCGGAAGAAGCCGGCTCTGCTGCGACCAGACAAGTATTTCCAGCAGAATCCAGAAAGCTGGCTCTGCGGAGCTGGTGTAAGTAGTAGTAGTAGTAGTAGTAGTAGTAGTAGTAGTAGTACCCTTCTCTGGTCCTTGGACTTGCACCATATTTAAAGGGACAAGGTGAGGGGGCCTGCCCGCGCCTCTGGTCCTCCACCTGAAGGTCCATCTGTTTGGGCAAGATGGCCTTGCTTTTGCGCGGGCGGGTGCATTTACGTAGCAGGTTGTCAAGTCTGACGACTCAGTAATTCGCTAAGCTGCCAGCAGGACCGCTTGAAGCTACTCGTGGATGGCCGAGTTCTGTACTGCTTGCGCAGGGACAGTCCGGAGCGATATGAGGTCGGACAAAGTATAGCGACACTGGAATATCTTCATTTGGGCCAGTGTAATGCAGACGAACGCCTTGAGCAGTTCCATGCTGAAGCATTGAAAAGTTTCAATCAGCTCCAAATTCTGGCCTGGCTCTGTAACAATGCGGTTATGCAGTCAAGTCGTTCTGCCTTCTGAAGTGCAAAAGGCTCCAGGCTGTTTTACGGGCTCGAACACCATAACAAACAAAAGCAGGCCCCCGACTGCAATGCGCTGCGTGGCCCCATTCACCGTCACCGAAGTGTGATCCAGACTAAAGCGTCCCTCAATGCAAGCAGTTACCTGTCACACTCACATGTTCACGCACCTTCACGTGGGTAGCTCTAGTGATGCGACAGGCAATTTGCAGCCCAAGAGCATGCCTTGGGGGAGGCCATGGACCGAAGTCGCGCGAGGCTTATGTAGCTTCTGCATTTTGCAGAATGACCTGTGCATGACGAGCCAGAACCAAGCAAGACTCACCTCATCATGGTTTCCCGGTAGTCCAGAATTGGACATTGCCCACAAGGCACCCAAACGGAACAGGTTGACACGTTGCATTCCCTTCTGGACACATTTGCCTAGTCGCTAGGCCCTTCTGATGCCTGTTTGGACGAGCCTAAGGCCTTATCAGTCCTGACCCCTGAAAGGCTCGTTCGAACCCAACAGACTTGATTTCAGTCGGGTGCCACGGTGGGGTTGCAGCAAGCCGGGGTTGTTTTCGTGGAAGAATTCGGGCTGGACGGATCATTCATGATCATTCATTGTATTGCGGCACATGGCACATGAACACCGCAGCATTTTGGCGAGCTTTGGGTCCGGACTTTGGTCGTTTCTTCGCCGCTTGCGGCCGTTTCACCCACAGCAACTTGCCCGTCGGCAATTGCAAGCAGACGTGCTGCGTTCTTGCAGGGTCGCTAAAGCCAGAAGTGTGGGTGCAGTCAGGCCACTTCCTCAACTGTCCGTCCAACAGGTGGTGCCGGGCTTTCTGATTCGGTTCTTCATCAGAACAACCCTGGCGTTGTGCTGCTCAGGTATAAACCACTCAGCAACTCCGATGTCGCAAAGTTCGCAGATGCGTACACCAAGGACCACTCAGAACAGAGCAATTGAAGAAACCCTGTCAATGCAAAGCTGAGTCTAGCTGCTCAACTAAGCCTGGCATCTGACCATGCCAGGCATTTGGGGTCGGTCTGTATGCCAGAGGGTGACCGTGGCCTGCTTGCTGCAAAGTTGCAGCCGGTTCAGCGGCCCACGCGCCATGTCTCACAACAGGCGATGGTGGCTGTCCTGTGCAACACAGGATTGGTTCACAGCCATGTCAATCTCTGAGTCTCAGTTGACTCTACACAACCGAGCCGTATCAGGACACAACAAGCCGTCCGCCCGTGCCGCTGCAACTTTAGGGGCTCGGTTCTGCAAGGAAGACAGGGACGGACGGCGGAAGGTAGAGATGCAAGCGGAAGACGCATGTTGCTTTGTCCGAGCATTCGAGCCATTTTTCCGACTGGTATGTATGGAGAAAGCATTTGACAAATTGCAGCTTGATAGCATTGATGGGTCCCGTGTGCTTGCAGCTCTCAGCATGACATATTTCTGAGCGGCGGGTTTGTGCAGAATTCTGTAATCGGCACCAGTTCAGCAAATCACTAGCAACAAACGGCTTGGAGATGCGGCAGTGTGCTGTCACACTGGCCGAACACTGCAATCAAATTATGGCCCGTGGGCGTTAACGCATTCTCAAACAAACATTGTTTGCATTTGCATCACAGGCTTGCGGGCTGGAGACTCCATGCCCGCAAAACAGCACGCTTCCACGCGTATCATCACGTATCATCACGTTTACATCTGTCACTATACGGAGCCAAGTGTGAGAAGACGGCCCTGCTGGTGTTTGGGAGTGGGGCATGCTAGGAATTCAGCCATGGGGACCGAATTGACATGCGATACGAGCACGCGACCGCTTGAAGGAGTTATGCAACACAACGTATCTCGAGCACCTTTCATCATAAAGCCTGGGTCAATGATGTACAGCAGCTCAAGGTACGGTAAACTCAAGCATGAGGCCATCAAGCCGGCGCCTTGTGAACCTGCTTGCCTCAGCGAGGGAAAGCTTGAGTTGTGCAGCTGTTCCTACGTGCAGGATAAAAAGGCAGGCAAAGGCTGTTGCCGAGCTGGAGACGCCTTTTGATTCTTGGTGATATTCGATGTATGTAGTGCTTTGCGGCTTTGCGTGTATGCAGAATGAGACGCAAGATCTCACAAGGTCTTGTTGTCATGAGAGATCTTGGCCTATGGGGATTCGGGGCTCGTGTAAATGCGCAGCTGACAGCATCGGTGAATTGCACCAATCAACGTCAACAACAACAGTCTGAGTCCGTGGTCCGTGCCCGTGTCCGTGCCACCACGCACCCAGCTAGGGCCGAGGCGTTTATGGCGACTGTGGCGAGGACTCCCAACCTCCTGAAGCGAGTGCCTCCAACGGCCAGCCTTCCACGACACGGCAGCTTGGGGCCACGCACCCTTGACTTTCAAGATCTGTTAAGAAAAGCTGCGGGTTGGAACTCGATCTTGTTTTACCTCGCCGGCCGCTGCGAGGTGGGTTCGTGAAAACGCACTTGGTCCAACACGAGCTGCGAACAAAATGGCTTCAACAAGAGCGTCACAAGGAGTTATGCGCAGACGAATTTGGCCAATCAGAGCTTCCCAAAAAGTGGCACAGGGCAAGTCAAGATGAGCTACTAGTAGTTGCAACTTGAGCGACATAAGCACCCGGGACAGACAGAGCGTCACCAAGCTTACGAAGACGAGATTCACACAATAGCAGCTCCGAGCATGAGCTTCATGGGCAAACAGCTCCAGAGTTTAGAGAGTGCGCGAGAAGAGGGAGTGCCTTTCCGAGCACTTCAACGGACCACGAGGTTCAACATCCACATAATTCCACATATGCGAGTTCTGAGACTGGGATGACGAGATCTAAAACGAGTATGTTCCAAACGGAGAATCTTCCGAAAAAAAGACACGCCGGGCGTGGCGTGCAGACGAACTGCTGGCTAGTTTCAAGACCAAGCAAGTGTCGGAGCCTCAGCACGGACGAAAGCTTCAGGCACGTTTTACGGCAAGAAAAAGAGAGCAGTCCCGTTGACGTGTGCCCGAGTCCATTATTTGTGACGACCCAGTCACTTTGTCAGCTGGCTGTCTGTGAATTGCGCAAGGAACGCAACCTGCGAGAGGCCAGGGCTTACCTTGCATTTTGCAGAGGCTTGCTTGCTTGCTTGCTTGCTTGCTTGCTTGGCTTGCTGAACTGTGTTCTAAGCCAGTCAAGGCGGTGGAGCTGGCAGACATTCAGTTCAATGTGCAAAAGAATCAGCTGGCACATTCGTGTTGTCCATCATGATTAATTAGCCAGCTGGATTCCGTTTTGTTCAGCGATTAATGTCTGGAAGTTATACATACACACATACCCACACACACATATATATTTATATATGTGTGTGTGTGTGTGCGTGTGTACGTATGTATAACTTGTATAACAGTATGGATATAAGACTGCATGCAGATTCTGCAGGAGTATCTTGAGTTTGTGAGGCCACATCAAACAAAAGATGGGGGTGCCCCAATAGCGTCCGGAACGCAGATTGAACACGTCGTCCTGTTAGTGAAGCTGCGGCTGTGCGGCCGAGCCCAGGTACTGCATGAGCTGGCCATCGATGCCCAGACATACAAGTTTCGACAGTGCTAGCCCCACGTTTTCTCCGTCGGTTTTTGTTTACCGCGGCGTGAGGTGTGAGAAGTTTTTGGCCTCAGGAAAATCATGGCCCGCTCTTTCGAAAATTTGAATGGGAACCAAGACAAGCCGGAGCCCCATCCACGGGCTGCAGCGGTATAGTTCTGGGTGTGCTCGTCCTGGCATTGCCAGGTGGCGTCGGATTTTAAAGACTTTGATCCTGCAAACGGCTCAAGAGCAGTGTCGCTATGGCAGTGTCAGACAGAAGAGAAACGAGATTGATTGCGGCATATCCAAGGTTAGAGTATTTGATCAAGAACGGCAGCGACAGCATCGCCGATGAATTGTGGGAAGCTTTGCCTTGCCTGCGCAATAAGTCAAGGATGCCACCGCTTCAGACGCATAAGCCAGCCGAACGGTTTCAGAAGCGCCGAGAAACAGGTCGAAATGCGGGACTTGGGACCGGCAGGGTTTTTGCACCGCGGCCGTTTGAGGCGCGGGGAGCAGTTGACCTTCCGCCGACTTGCGAACTTCCAGTGCAAGGATGAAGGCCAAGATCGAGGCCGGGCAGAGCCCTCGCAGTATGTAACGCTTGCAGAGCCCCCTTCAGGCAGCGGCGTCCGAGAGAAGGCTTTCCCTCACCTGTACGAAGATCTTGATGTTGCGGATTCTTGGGTCAATAGGCTGAAGCACTCGTCAAGCTCCTGAATGACAAGGAAACCGATTTGGAGCATGCTTCTGTCAAACCTGAACCAGCTTCTGCTTACTACATGTGGGTTCAGGACTTCCTGAAGCTCGAACGGGAGCAGGCATGACAGAAATCTCATGACATCGCAGTGATGTCGGAGCGCTAAAAAGTGTAGATCAGAGCAGGCGAAGCTGCACCACACCAAATTGACGGGCAGCGGACCGACCGCTATTGTGGGCGGTCAGCCACCAAGCCCCAAGACTGGGACTAGGAGATAGTCCATCTACACATCGCATCACATTGACATAGTGTTCACTTCCGGACAGGGCGCGGTAGCCAATCCACGACTTCAACTTCATCTGTCAGTTCAGTCCTGGGTGATGCCCTGAACGAGCTTCAGACTTAATCTGTTCGTGGCCTTCTGCATGAGCTTACATTGCCAATGCCATGTTGTCGAGGCTCAGACCAGGAAGTGATTCCCGCACCTTGTCTTCTTCCCAAGCTGCGGAGCTGGAGAGGCGCTTCAACAGGCACGGGGCGAAACAGCTGCACTTGTCTTTGCGTGCTGTCGCATGCGACTACAGATGATGAAGCCCTCGGTTTCCCCAAAAGCTTTGGGCCTTGGGCTCATTTCCCAGCTGACACAGTGGAGAACTGCCAGACACCACAAGACAGGACTTGAAACGGCCTCAGGGTTCTCAGTCAGGGACTCGTTTTATGAATCACGCAATGTCAGGCTGTACGACTTTCAGTCGAGGGCTGTTGATCGCCCCTCGTTGCACAATTGCCTGAAGTGCGGAATGTGCACGTTTGCATCTGGACACGCAATAACACTCGAAACTTGACTTGACATGCGAACGAACGCAAACACTCGGAGGCGTTAGTTCCCTCCGCATGTTTGGCGCACGAGAGTCTTCTCCAAACTTATTGAGCCACTTCCAAGCTGTCGTACGAAAATCAACGCGAAAGCAACTCTGAAAGGGATACCCGCCTTCCGGACGTAACCAGCGGAATTTCGTTGGATAGTGTTACGGAAGTTGCTCACGCAAGAAGCTGGCGGGGGCTTGTGCCAGACTAGTGCGAGAGAATACCATTCCTGCGACAGTTAGAACGATGACATGGTGACGGCAGTTGTGGCGAGCATCGGGTCATGGGATTTTGCGCAGGGGTCATGGCACCTTCGAACCAATCAGTGCTGGGGCTTGGTTACCGTCTTGTGCGACAGTGGAAAGGGTCGAGCCGAAGCACTTTGACCCGGACTGCTTGGACTTATCTGGTTCTGATTCTGCAGAATGCCATCTTGTTGCAGCACCAAGTATGCTCAACACTATGTACGCAGATCTTGCGGGCGGAGCTACGACAGGTTTGAAGCTGCAGACTCCGCAGTCTGCAACTTCAACCATCAAGACAATAAACCGTCTCGCGATGCTCGTTGGTGCATCTTGTTCCATGATGCGGCCTCGCACAGTAAGCTTTCATTCCGTGTTCACACGAAGAATGTGGACCAACAGGGTACCTCGCACCTTCACAGCAAAGGCAGTACAGTGCATTGATGGCTCTCCTTGCCTGGTGATCCAAGCCACCCAGTTTACACTCGGCAGTGTGAGATTGCCTTCTGGCTCCCATGCATTTCCCGGGAAGAGGACGCCCAAACCTCGAAGAACCTCAGTACAGAGTCGAGGCTGGGGTCACGCCCTCCAATTACAGATCTGTCTGAAGAGGCGGCAGTTTCTGGGACATCTCAGATGCCAGGGAGTCACGGCAACAAGGGCGAGCGCCGGTGCTGGCACTGCTCTTGAGCCTAATTGTGCTCTGCAACTTTGGAGCAGGAACGCACGCACATCCGGGCAAACTTGTAGTGGAACCGTCGGGTGCCCCGCTTTGGGAAGGTCTCGGCCCCGACGTCAGAAGCACGACCATGTTTACAGGATGGATGGATGGATGGATGGATGGATGGCAGCTGCGGATCCCTCCGGCCTTTGCAGCCCCTCCGACAGCGTCATCGGGGCTCCAGTCTCGAGTGCCCGAGAGAAAGCCATGCAAAAGACCGTGCCATCGCATCCAGCCTCATCATGACCCATGTCCCCTCTTGGAGGAGAGATTTGGATCCTTCTCAGCGCAAAGTAAGTTCAGTAAAGTAAGGCGTGAAAATCATAATTTATTGTAGGGGGCACCATCACGGTCGTACACCGGGACACCCCCTTGCTTATGGCAAGCGGAATTTCCCGACCCCACAGGATATGCTTCTCATTCACCCTAACATGCGTCAAGGTCAACTGGTCCTATGGCGTAAGCTCGTTCGAAGCAGATTTCAGGATCACATGCTTCTGAGGTGCAGCAAGAGCCGCGGTGCGAAGCTCTTTGAGCAAGCACTGCTGTAATTTGCTGTATACCTCAAGAAGGCCAACCGCAGCACATGCTGCCTAGATTCCTAGATGTATAAAGATACAGCCCATTTTTGTCCAAAGCTAGGCCGTTTCCCCACCAGACTGAAGATAAGTCACGAGTCACAAGTGTTACAATGATGCCTGACGGAAGCATCGCCGCCGCGCTGTTGCTCCTGCTGGTGATGTTGTTTTCGGTGTTGGTGGTGGTTGTCGTCGTCGTCGTCG